AGATGCACTACTTCTCCCGACTACTCGGTAAACTTCCCGAGCTGCGATCTCTCAGTGTGCAAGGGCTTCAGAGGATCTTCTATCTGAAACTAGAAGATCTCGTCCCGGCTCCTCCACTCATTGAGAACATGTTTGTGGCGAGTTTGCCGTTCTGAACTGTTCAAGAACTCGCTCAGTGAATCTCATGAGTCGGAGCTTTCCCAACTCCAAAGTGGACTTTCAAATACTTTGTTGAACTTTTCAAGCATTTATCCCGTGATTCTTGGTTCTAGTTTACGTTGCCACTGTACAGCTGGACTGTAGTTTTCTGTGGCGAGACCAGTTCTCGGTTCTCGGCTTTGGATGTTGACGCACAGTTTTGTTTCCAGTCTTACTGACTTGACCCTATGTGTCTTTTGGTGTGATTGTTAAAGCAAAATATTTGTGAAAACATTCTACATTTGATGCATTTCTTAAACTTTAGCAGTAGCTATTGTTAACCTAAAAATTTATAATACAAAAAAAGACTACACAAATATTTTGTTTTGAACTTGCTAGTAAGATAAGGTATGTGATATTTATCAATATTATAACCTGTAATGTTTATGTTATCTTTCAAATTTATATACATTTTTTAAATGGTCTATCCCAATGGAATACAAACATACCCTTGTTATATTCCCTTCCTAAATTGGCCTGTCAAGAAGTGATACAAATCCCAAAAAAACTATTTTTATAAAGAAGTTAAAGTTTAATATGATTATTTTCTAATAATACTCAATTGTATTTTTTTAACATCTATATCACAAAATGATTTGAAAATCATAATAGCATATTAAGTCCTTAAACATAATTGCAAAATCAATTGCTACAGATATCATGAAAATTTGGTGTTCCTACAAGCATAATCATATTTTTAAGTCCATATTATAAATTTTAACTATGTTAATTTATTTACTATATCTCAGCAAGTATGTCAATTTAAAACAAAGAATATTGTACAATTTGTAAACATTGCAAGTTTTGTTAAACCAAAGACAAAAAGAGCACTTACTCGCTTGTCTATGGTTTGAGTTACGGCCCACCAACATTCGTTCAGCCGTTGAAATTATTTATAAGTTTGAACTGTTCTTAGATTACCCATTAGCAGGGGTATTTTCGTTGAGTAATATTTACTCTTGTTACTTACTTATAGTTTACTATTTATTGTATTACTCACCACGAATATTGAAACTAGTTTTAAGGTGGTGGAAGGAGGACTGAGCCGGAACAGTTTTAGTTAATCAAACGAGATGCCTTGATGAGAGATGGTACAAATAGTGACAGTGACTGAGCGCAATACTCGTTGGTGGCCTTGTCTCTAGTTTAGTGTGCGTCAGGCCTGTGAAGTTACCACGTCAGAGCGTTCTGTGATCGGCCGTCCTTCAGAGTTTATTTTCACACTCTAGTGGTGACGTCATCGCATCTTTTGTACAGATTTATAAATGACATTTGTTTGTAATTTTGATTTTTACATGTTTTTTTATTTAATATTTTATAAATGTTTTCATCGATTTAGAGAGTTTGAGTTACCATTAATGCCATAAGAACAGATTTTAATATAAAGGATAGTTAAGGGTACTTTTATAAAGACAATTGAGACTGATCGGTAAGGCGGGACGGGCATGAAGGATATCCGATATCTCCGACCATATCTATTGTGCTGCACTTGTTATGTTGTATTCGAGCGAATATTTGTATGTTTCTACTGCCTTGGATAGTTATTGTCGATGCCTTTGGATTTCCTCATTCTAAACTTGTTTTGGCTTACCAGTTAGAAATTGTTTTGACAGTTTATGTTGCCAGTGCAGACATTGCCAGCCTTATGTTGTATATGTCTTACTGTCGAGGACTCATGTTGTTTTACCTTTACCAATTAGTAGCCCAGTTCTGTTGATCATTTGTGTGCTATATGTCTCAATGTGCTATGTCTTATCGCACTTTATTTTACAGCTGTTTCTTGCCATTATTTCTGTGTGAATCACAATTTATGATTGCCAATACATACTGTCTATTTATTTTTACCCACTCTCAGTAACAGTATTAATATTTTAAAAAGACGCAGCTTCACAGAAAATATAGAATGATTTAATTACACAAATTAAAACAGTATCAAGCTGTTTTGAGTTATGTCCAATCGAGAGTAGAAAACTCTTGTTTTATCTAGGAAACACCCATGGACGTAATACCTTCCTCAAAATATGTAATACTAATAAATGTAATAAATTATTACAACTACAAAAAAGTTCCCATCTGTATTTATTTTGTCCAGTTTTAATGAGGTGTACAAAACAAAGAAATATTTATTAAGATAAACTTAATATAGGCAGGCTAGTACTTATTTTTGATTTTAAAACTTATTTTGGAACATCAAACACAGCTGCTAAAGAATACATGCAACTTATTTATTTTTTTTTTTATCAGAATTTATTTTACAATCTGTTCAAATATGAGAACAATAAGTAAAACATATATCAAAACAATGTCAGGAAGCAAGCACCTGTTCATCAACAAGTCTTGACAAAAATTGGATCAGTCATTTAAATATTTACAGAAATCTGTAGCTTAGGTCCAGCACATGCACAACACTTTTTAACCTGGTAATGCACTGACTATTGTCCAGCAGATTAACAGCAAGACTGTTCGGATGATATTCTAATTTTTCTTGATAATTTTTGCTAAGGTCTGTAATTTCTTCTTTCACTGATTTAATTTTGAAGTCATTCCTAATTAATTGTAGTGTTGGATACGAACCAGGGTGCGCCAATAATTCTTCTCAGTGCCTTAGCCTGAAATCGTTCAAGAATTTCGATGTTGGATTTGCTCGAGGTCCCCCAAAGTTGAATTCCGTATGTCCAAATTGGTTTGATCATAACTTTATACAGTAAAATGTTGTTAGCCAATGATAATTTTGAATTCGTACCTAGTAGCCAATTGAGTTTACGAAGTTTTAATTCCATTTGCTGTCTCTTGCACCAAATATGAGATTTCCAATTTAATTTTTTGTCAAGAGTTAGACCTAAATATTTTACACTGTCTGCCTCCGTTAAGGCAACATTATTAATGGTTACTGGAGGATTGTACCCTGTTCTCAGAGTAAAAACAATATGTTTGGACTTGTTTTCGTTGACTTTTATCCTCCACTTTTTAAGCCAATATTGGAGCTCAGTCAAGGCAGCTTGTAGATTTATGTAAGCGACTTGAGGGTCCACATGACTCGACAACAGTGCGGTGTCATCAGCAAACGTAGCAACTGTGACGTTGGGGACCATAGGGATGTCTGCTGTATATATCAAATATAGCAAGGGACCAAGAACACTTCCCTGAGGTACTCCAGACTGTATCGGCTTCAGATCAGATAACGAATTATGGAATTTTATTTGAAAATATCGATTGGTCAGATATGATTTCAGAAGGTTATACAAAGAGTGAGGGAGAGAGGTTTTGAGTTTAAACAGAAGTCCGACATGCCACACCTTGTCAAACGCCTGTTGGACATCCAAAAATGCAGCAGAACAGTACTTTTTTTTCTCAAATGTGTTTTTTATAATATCCACTAATCGGTGAGTTTGTTGAATGGTGGAATGTTGTTTGCGGAAGCCAAACTGATGATCTGGTATTAAGCTTAATTCATCAACAGTGGGGGTTAACCTTTTAAGTATTACCTTTTCAAACAACTTTGATACTATAGGAAGCAAGCTTATGGGTCTGTAAGAAGATGCCTCATTAGGTGGTTTGCCTGGTTTTGGGATTTTGGTTTTAAGTTTAATCTACAACACTATTATGCAAATATAAAAATAATTACTTCTTGCTTCTGTTAGTGGCACATATGACAAGTGCAATAAATGCCATTGCTATATAAGCAAGATGTTAAATAGGTATTCATACGAGCTGGTCTAGAATTACAAATGAAGATGATCATCTGGGATCCTATCTGGAACATCATGTTAGACCAAACTGATCTTTTGGCACAGGTCATAATATACAAGTAAATAGGGGGACAGCTCACTTACTCTACAGATCATAGTGTCTATGTGCCAAGCGTACGAATTATTTTATAATTCATGAATCGGCTCGTAGTGTATACAAGCCAAAATACAGAATTAATATAAATTAAGAAAATGGCGGGTTTAAGGTAATGGGTGTACACTCACTACGAGCCTGAGACGGGGGAAATATTATGGCTTGCCTACACTACAGCTCATCATATCTACAAGTCGCGCGGATGGGATCGTGAAACTGAAGTCATATAGCCCGGCTTCGACTGCTTCGAGTGCCCAGAAATGTATATTGCAACATCTTTTTACATAACAAGTAATGTTAGGTTATGCTAGGTTATACAGCGGGTCATACATTTCCCACCATTTTCAATGAAGCGCTGCAAACCACGAGACGAGTAGACATGTCGCACTGCAGTTTAAGTGAGCCGTCTACTATTTTTGCGATATTTATTATGAAATAGGCTCATTGTATTTATACAAGCATACATCTATAATTTATATAAATTCAGTATTTTAGCTTGTATACACTTCAAGCTGATTCCTGAATTATAAAATAATTTGTTCGCTTTGCACTATCATATGTATAGTAGGTGAACCCTCTTCATTTATTTAATATTTTCGATAGGCTCGTAGTGTATATAGGCCTTTAGTGCAGGTGAAACTTCAATATTATTTTACGAGGCTCGTATACACTATGATCTGTAGAGTAAATGAGCCAAGTATTTAATAAATAAATATTTGGAGGCTCATAGTGTCTATGATTTGTAGTGTATGTGAACCCTAAGCGTAATAATATGTTAAATTTTCTACCAATCATCCTCCAGGACTGAAAGTATCTTTAAAATTAACCATCCATTAGACATTTTTAGTCCAAACAAATGTTCCGTCTAACACAACTTGGCTATAACCAAAGTTACGTCCAGAAACAAAATTTGCCACACATTTGAAAGCTGAGGTGAAGGAAATTTAGAGATCACATAGTGAAGCCTGAAGTATTTTATTAGTTTTAAAGAAACATTTCACTTAGGATGTGCCTATTTGGGTAACTTACCTTAAACTATTGATAAAGAAACATTTAACTAAACCCTGTTACATTAATAAGCCTATTAAAATTGGTTTCGTTTTTAGTTATGGTAATGATAGAGGATTTTGTAACCGTCTCAATTCATAGAAACACACTATGATTTTAGAACCCCCCTTCTTTAAAAAAATTATCCCAAGAGAGAAAATAAACCAATAGTTCTACTAACAGATCAAATCACATTAAAGAAGGCAAAAAAACCAAAATGTAAAAAATAATGTGCATGGAAGAATCAGATACTTCAGTTGATAACGACTACCAATTCATAAAGTACTCCACACATACTTGCTTTCTTAAAAAAAACTTTAAAAATAAAAGGCACACAAATAATAATGTGCAGACTAATACTTATTGAGAACAACATAATGTTTCACATTAATAGTAACTAGTAAACACGTTGCTCGAAATCGAGCAATTGCAAAGAAGTAAAGTAGTTATTATTATTTTAAAACAAATAAAAGTCATCATAATTTCCGATGAGTTAGACTTTGTATTCATGGTGGAAGGAAAAAACATAGGTGTGCTATTCCCATCATATTCTGACGTCACTTGGATTGCAAACAAAAGATCACCTGATTATAACTGTCAAATTAGTATATGTATTTGTTTTGATTTGGTTTTTATTTTGTATATAATGTGTGTTCTTATAAAAACAATAACAATCAAATAATAAAAAAAATACAAACTAATTTGACAGTTACAATCAGGTGATCTTTAGTTTGCAATCCAAGAGACTACAGCTGATCAAAATTTAAACAATTATGTTCTTCATAAGGATAACATGGGAACTTTAACAGCCACTGGGGCAGAGCCCAAGGAACTTTTTCAAAAATGTAAGGTCAGTTTGCAAAAGCGACACGCTCTTTTCAATGAGAGGTCAATGGATAAAATCGGTTAAGAAATGGTGGAGGAGTTCAACCGACAAAGTTTCATGTAGAGTATTAATTATATGGATACCAATTTTTAATTTTTACAAAACAATTTGCTTGGCAGTTACAAAAAGAATAATTTCTTTATATATGCTTTTATATAAAATCACGGCATTGAAACAATCAAAATGAAGTGGCCATACATCAGTACGGTAAATTATTTACTGCTATAATAAAATCTGGGGTCTCAAAGGATTTTAGTTTGTTTATAAAGAAAATCAAGTTTAACATGAAAATTATAGTTAAAAAAATATTTACTCACTAGCAGCGTATGTGAGGTAACCGTCTAATAAACAACACTCTAAAAATGATCACTATTTTGACACGATGAAGTTACACCTCCATTTTCTTTTATTACCTTATAGATTGTTAAAGTAAAATTTATTATTGATTGATTGAACTTATACTACCACATATGTTCATTTTGACTTAATAATACATTTTATAAGTCTTACAAAATGTATGGCTACTCAGACTAAGTTATATGATTTTTTCCCCTCTAACTTCCCATGCCACATAACACTGCATAGCAAAACCCAAAGAAGAGCAGAAAGATGCTTCTCCTCTTAACTGAGGCACTGTTTATTTATTCAAATGAAATAAATTATTTGATTTGAACATTTAAAATGGGGCAGGATCCCAACCAAGCACACTGTACTGCTATAGGTTAACATAAAAAAATTTAATTTGCTCAGTAAAGACTTTTGTGGTTAATGTTAGAAGGAACTCACAGTCCATGGAACTTTTATATTAACAATAGTTAAAGAATTACATAAGTTGACTTTTACCTGTTTTGGAGTAAGGATACGACGACAGTTTTGTATCCTTAAGTTTATAGACCGATCAGTACCTCGAGAAGGATCTACTTACTTTACATTCAAATTAACAAGTTGTCAGGTAGGAAGTAAATCAGGAAATAGAATAGAATGTTTCTTTTAAAACGTCAAAGGTGTCTTATCTTTTAAGTTTAAATACCTCTTATAAAATGGTTTGATGGATGCCAGTTATAATATTAACCTTTATTAAATATTATATGAATAATTTAATGAAAAAAATAAAATAAAAAAGTTGTCAGCTTCTTCAGTTAAAATTATGTTAAAATTAATGTTAATTAATTAATTAAAAATAATGTTACAATTAAAACCTTTTCTTCGACAATATATTTACTAACATATTTTGTTGTTAGATGAAAAATATACATAACAATTTTTTGTTTAATAAAATTTTTCTATAAAACTGATGTTGGTTAACTTTAACAGTAGGCCTATAGACAGTCGATGCCTCTAAACAAAATGTTTTGCTTCAATTTTAATTATAATAGTTACCTACTTTAAGTATAATTATATGTTTTTTAAAAGTCTTAAAGAATTATAATTTTTGTGAGTTATTGTGATTTGTGAAAAGTAAAAAATGATAAGCTACATAATTTATATGTATTATTAAAACATAACACATAATCGAGATAATGCTTAATCAAAATATGTAACTGAACACAAGTTTTCAATTAACAACAGTGATTGTGAGCAAATTACAATCTCTAGTCAGTAAAAATAACTTACATTCAACTTAAACCTATTTTATATTTACACATGCAAACTAACTACAATCTCACTAGACGATTTCTTATGTTGTCGGTTTCAGTGAGAATGATAATTTCGGTCTTGAATTGTTTTTTCCTAATATTTTCTTCTGTTCTTCCTTTATCCTCTTTTCATGCTCTTTCTTTAACCTTTGACGCTCTTCTTCCATTTTTCTATGTTCTTCAACCATAGCCAATCTTTCTTCAGCCTATAACAAGTATTGATGAAAATTTGGCTGGTATAAATTTAACTATAAAAGTCTTAAATATTGTCTTATTGACAAAATTTAAATTACATTAAACAAAAATACATATAAACTGAGATGAACTTTGAACCTCATGCACTTACAGTAAACCTATAAACAAAAATGTATAAACCAAAAAAGTTATTTATTACCAATTAAGACGAGGACACAGCTGGGTGTATTGTACTCAAAAATATCAGAGAATGGTAACAAAACCTCAGGAGATGTTCTCGATTTTACTGTGACTGCAGAAGAGTTCACAATTTCGCTGTGATTGTGAACATTGTTAATGATTTCACCGTGAAGACCGATGATGATATTGATTTTGTTAAGACCACATTTCGATTGGACATTCCAATCATCTTCAGACCCAATAGGCGAATGACAAGTATATTGAATGGCGTCCTTACTTATATAATACTTTCCTATTGGCTACCGGAAGCACCGGCCAATACGTTTGAAATATAAGTACAACTGGAGTCAAAATTTACTTGTTCAATAATCAGTTTATTTTTATTTTTACATTATTTTTATAAATATACAATTCTTCTCAAGTAATCATCATTTATCCTTTATTACAATTCTTTAAAATACATAGACAATTCTGCATTTTTCTTAATGAGTGGCCATTTTGTAACAGGTGTTGTGCGAAATTTGATCTTTGCGGTATGTTGTTCCTCCACGCAGATACCGTATGTGGTTGTTGAAGTGGTTAACGAAGTTCACAGTCTGCCCAATGTAGAAGCTATCACAATCGTTACAATTGATTTTGTAGATGCCCGAAGCGTCGAATTTGTTACAATCTTCTATTTTAGGATGCAGTATTTTACTCATGGTGTTCTGAGTCCTGTAGGCTATTGAGAGAGGATTGAAAGAGGAAAACACCAGATATGTCACATTTAGCTGCACAGGGACTACAACCACGGCCTCCTTTAACTACAGGCCGCGGCCAGCGAGAATTGGCAACGTCGCACCGAGCAGTAACTCCCGGCCGTTTCACCATTACGGTAATACGAAACTAGTGGTCGCGGTTTAAATATACTGGATTTTTATACCCTTACAATTGAAATAAAATTTTGAAATTTGGTAGAGAGCTAGGGAATAAACTCTTCATGCCAATGGTATGGTTTTGAAAATTAAAATTTCACTTGGTAGTATATATAAATGTTTTTAAAATTAACACATTAGAAAAAGTTAGGTAAAAAAGTAAAGTGAAAAAGTTAGTCGCCTACTAAAATTTTTGTTTGTTGGTCAGAGAAGTTTCGTCTGTGAGAAAGTTGTAGATAGGCTTAATTAAATATACTTCTCTGTTTCTATTTAACTTTTCTTTCTATCATGCTTAGTTTTGTTAAAATTTTGGGTTGAACAGAGCAACCAAGCCTCAGTTTTATGTCGCGGCGCGGCGAGTAGTGCTGCCCACAAGGTGTAGTGTAGTATTGCGTAGCTAATAATTAATTTATGCCAACTGAATTATTTCAAGCAAGTTGATATGCCGATATGCCTTTTAGTTATCCTAAAGAATATTACTTTTGTATGAAACAGTGCTTTAATACACATTCCCAACCAGTACTAGTACAGAAGTTATAACTGAAAGCTCTACTTGTGTTTCTTACATTTTCCCGTAGTAAGTAATATTATTACAGCCAACAGCACAGCATTGAATGCATTTTGAAGACAGGTTAACTATTTACTACAATCCAACCAACAAGTGTATACGTACACGGTGCACACTGCACGACTTAATGTCTTCATAATTAAATACGGTAGCCTAAAACAGAAATGCCCTTTTCCTTTAGTTTTAATAATTTTGCTGTAGTTTATTATGAATTTTAATATGTGGTTTATTTACATGTGGTTTTTATTGCGCTACCATTAATAACTAATCCATTGATAATATTCTTGCAACAGACAATCGGAAGGCAGAGCTAGCGGAACTTTTAGCTTAGCGCTCATCAACCAATAGCGGCGTGGCGACCACCATCTTGATAGTTAGGTGGAATTAGCGAATAACTAAAATTAGCGACGACCTAAAATAGAAGATTGTAACAAATTCGACACTTCGGGCATTTAAAAAATCAATTATAACGATTGTGATAGCTTCTACATTGGGCAGACTGTGAACTTTGTTAACCACTTTAACAACCACATATCTGCGTGGAGGAACAACAAACCGCAAAGATCAAATGTCGCACAACACCTGTTACAAAATGGCCTTTCATTAGAAAAATTGAGGATAGTCTATGTATTTTAAAGAATTGTAAAATATAAAATGTAATGAATACTTGGGAAGAATTGTATTTTTTTAAGGAAGAATTTAAAATAGAAATAAAATAAGCTGATTAATGAACAACTTAATTTTGACTCCAGTTTTACTTATAAAAATGAATTGGCCGGTGCTTCCAATAGGATATAAGAAAAGACGCCATTCAAGATTCTTGTCATTCGTAACTCCCAGGTTTTCTATGAATTTTGGTTCTGTGGCCACCCTGTATTCAGTTGGATTTTTTTTACAAAAAGATTAGAAAAAATTTTTAGACTAGCTTAACATAGGACAGCATTCACCGTAATCATAATTGTTTGTGCAGAAATCTTTCCCATTGGGAGCCAAGGTTCACAGTCTTTATGAGTCATTATCAATGTGAGTCTAAACTAAGCTAATCCAAAGCTATCAACACAAACTCACCAGTTTTCTCTGAGCTTCTTCCATTTTTCGGTTGTTTTCAGCCAAAATCTGTTCCAGCTCCTCCCTCTTTTTTCTTTCTTCCTCCTAAAACCAAAGAAAACGATGTGAATAAAAAAGTTTAAATTGAAAGAAAGCATCCATCATGAGTCAGACAGACGCTTCCGCTAGACCGAGTCATTCATCTACTCTAGTTTGACGGACAATTTTACTTTAGTTAAGAGAAATCTGTTTAGGAAAAAATGTATTTTGAATCTAAAGGATATTTATGACTCGTTCTAATTTATATATGTACAACACTAATAATAACAGTTCACATATAAATAGAAGCGAACACGAAGAAAAGTCGAAGATGCTGTAACAATAAAACACAATAAATAACATGTGTGGTAAACATAAGTTATCATATATAGGTAAAACCCCGACATTGGCTAACAAATGTTGCTGAGGTTTTTACAGCAGCTAATTGTAACATTCATTGTACCATTTAAAACTCAGGCATCTCATATACTAGTCACAAAACTAAATTTTTTAAAGATGATTATCGAACTTAAATGTTATAATGTTTGACCCAATGAATTGTACTGTTGGATCTTCATTAAATCTTAAATCCTTTTCAAAACTGAACCAAAACTATGTTGATTAGCTTCATGCACTTACTAACCCACCATGTCAGCAGTTGTATATCTGCGGTTAAATCAAGCTCAAGTCTTTTAGAAATAAAATCAACCCCACAACCCTCTTAATACCAGCATCAAAACCATAAAAATATTAAATGTAAGAAATTCTGTGTGAGGAACAGAAATTATAAATAAAAATAATGAGAGCTAATGATTGATATGCTGTCTTACTGTAAATTAGAGTACCCTCTAGATAAAACTGTTTTTTTTTTCGTCTGTCTGTATGTGTGATGCCAGACAATTTTAGATTATATTACATTTGTCACTTGTTAGCCAATGTGTTAAAATAATAAGGGGGTACTTATAATTTCAAAAGATATTACTCAAAATTTAACTGTTTATGAGTTTTGTGACCCTTCTCATATTTTGAAATCTGAGCTTAGATTATACAATAAAAGTCTCAATTGTTTAAGAGGAATTATAATAATGAACATGGCTTTAAGTTTTGACTAAAATAAAACCAATAAATTTTGTAAAGGAATAGCAAAAAACATGTTATAATGGGTTTCAAAACATGTCTAATATACTGTAACTTAGTTTGGGTGATCATAACAAGTAGGGTCTTAAAAATTGTAAATTGGTGCATGAACCAAAAAAATACAATAACCGGTCCCACCATCTTATTTTGAAAACACTTTCTAGATATATGAAACTTAACAATTGAAAACAAATAACAATCAAGCTATCAAGTATTTAGATTATATACAAGACATTCTATTGTAGGCTATATGATTGTCATTGAGAATCCTATACCTATTGCGGTTTAATAGGTGATAGGAAATCAAAAATAAATTTTATTGAAAACAGATCTTTTAAACCTAATGTAGGTCATCTCCTATTATCTAAACAAAAGCTTATCATATTCCATGAATTAATAAGAAACAAAATTTATAAAAATTAAATATTCAATCTGGAAAACAAAGGCTTTAGAAAATATTTCAGGAGTTAGGGCTACTTAATCTTTAATCCATCCTCCTCTTGTTCAACTTACCAAATGATATTAATTATTTATCAACACTCAGTTGTGACTTTTTAGAAATGAAAACTAACTCCAAACTATTTTGCTAAAATGGCAATATGTTTTAAAATCTTTAGGAAGCTTAGCAACTTTTCACAACTACTGTTAAATTAACTGTTATAGATGTGCATTTTTTGATTGATTTTTTTAGGTATGTGACAAGGGGGAGGAAAAATTAAAACAAAATCATTAATGAAAACTAAACACTTCTAAAGTTTATCTAAAGTTTAGTTTAGTAAAGTTTAGTTTTCTAAAGTTTATGTTTGGATATGAAGAGCTGAAATGTGACCATTCGTTTTTAAAATAATGGTTTACTTTGTGATATAAAGTTACTAGAATTGTTCTAAATGTTATTTAAACAAAGTAGGCTACCTAGTCCTATTTCTGATTGAAAAAGAAGCAGAGAAAAATTCTTAAAAGACTCATTTCTTGTCATGGGATAAAAGTTCACATAAATTATTAAAAATTACCCGTTCAACTAAAAAAAACTCTGTACTGCTTTGACCCTAAGGACTATTCTGTACAAGCGTATCTTGTGTTATTGATGCTATATTCTCCCAGATTAAGATTAAGTGTTTTATGGAGGAAAAACATTTGTCTGGAAATTTGCTGTAGGTACATATTTTGGTCAACTCAAGGATATTACTGTTGCAACTGTAGAAATAAATGTAAAATCTGTGAAACGCCCATACAGAATAAACCCCACCCTTGATACAACACAAACTAACTAAATCTACACTTACCACCTCGGAGTACAGAACAAAGCCACTCCTGTAAATATCGACCAACAAAAGAAACCATATTTAAGTAAGTAAGTAGTAATGATACATACATCACAGCTATACCTTGCCGAGTCGTACCTTCCCCGTAGTGCCTCTGCTGCTAACCTCCGTCCCTGCGAGTGTCTTGAGTCGGCCACTGCTGCACGCGGAGATGCTTTACGCATCCCCATTCATTACTTAAATACTAACACATTCAAGCTCCGCCCTGGAGGGGGCTTTGCTTTGAAAACATTAAAATAGGTACTGCAATTCCTCAAAATATAGACTTAATGTGAAAACTATTTTGAAAATCTGAATTTATTAAAAGACTTTCGAATAATTTAACTAAACATTGTGATTTTACAAGCTTTTAAAATACTTCTCAACAGATATCTCAACGTTGTATATCAAAAAAATTGACTCTTTGTCCAGATTACGTAATTTTGGAATGAAGTTATTTAACTTAACAGGCAACCTGAAATTACCAGTGCCTAAGGCAAATCAAAGTATTAAATTAAAATAAACGTTAAAAGATTTTTTATTCCAGCGATGCACTGATTTTTATTCTTTATTTGAATATCATTATGATGGATTTGTTGACTGCTAACCAGATAAAACAAAATCTTGATTGCATTTAAGAACAAACTGAACATATAACAATAACAAACCTTAACAATCAAACCAAACTTGTAGACCACAATTTCAATTCATTACGGAAGGATCTGTTAGTAGTTGTGCATTATACCATTTGTGGTTTATGTAAATAAATGAAATTGCAAGTACAGTACCGGTAGTTGATGGAAATGAATATGAGTTTTTCTTACACAAATGTATTAAATAGCAAGATGATAGAAGAATGCGAAAGCAAATTAATTAAATCAATTGCATGATCTGGCAGCAATTATAATAAAATATAGGAGCTAAATTTATATGAAATAAACATTTGTATTATTCTGTTATCAAGTTATGTTGGCCAACACAGTTATTTATACCAGGTTTAAAAATACCAATCTGTAAAGCATATTTATGCAAGGTGTGAAAGAAGGTAGATCTTCAAAAATAATAAATATTGATTGGCAAAAGGTGTTCGGGAAAACTTAAAGATTTATTACTATACACCTTGAATAACATCAAACAAATTTGCCTCGATATTGCTAGAGCAAAAAGAATCACAATCTTTTTACGTACTACAAATTGGTAATACGATTTAGGTAGACTCAATATAAAATGTGTATATAACTAATTGTCTTTTCGCTGATTAAGTCACAGTATTTACATTAGCTGATGGTTTTAAAAGTGATTGGAGAGCAAAACATAGTTCAAAGAAGAGCACGAACAGGAAAAATACATTTATTTGTAAGGTAAAAAAAAAAAAATTACATTTATTTATTGTTGTCAACAACCTTAATTCTATCTAAAATGTTCTCTTTTTCAAAGTCCACTTTTTATCAACAACAGTTCATGTCCACAAATTTCTAAAGTAAATGATTTTAAAAGGCAAGAATGTATGGCAGCAAAGAAAAGTTGACTGCAAATTGAATAATTGTCTTGCGGTATACTGTACGTACACTTTATTGCTTGAGCTTAAACACACAACGCAAAAAATTTAGAAATAAGAACAAGATAAAATGAAGATTTTGTAACACATTCTGATTCAAAAAATCAAGAATTGGCCTAGGTTGTAATAGATTTAAAAAAATTATCAAGAGTCTTTTATCCACTGAAAAGTGGTTGCACCTCATCAAAAGAGATTGGCTTTATGTTATATTTTAATGTAAAAAACAAATAATATCAACTAGACTAACTTGTATTACTTAAGCCATACAACAAACAAAATAGAGAGAAAATTTAAAACCACTTAAAACTTAAAACATTTCAAACTATCTTTGCAATCAACTTTCAACATTACTGACAAATACCACTCTAGCCTCTTAAAATAAATTATAGATTGTTCCCAAAATGAATGAATTCCTACCTCTCTTTTCTTTTCTTCTTCCAATAAAATCTGTCTTCTCTTTTCCATTTCTTCCATCATTTCCTTCTCCATAATCTTTTTCGCCTCCTCGACTCTTCGTAACACATCTGCTTCTATTTCCTCTTTCCTCTTTTCGAGTTCTTCTTCCACTCTTTTTTGAACCATGACTTCTATTCTTCGAGCTGTCTCTTCCTCTACCAGTTTCTGTTCGATCTCTCGTTGCCTCCTACAGACCAACATCTATGATTAGCATTTTATCTCTTTAAGATACAAATTGGTATGGTATAAACAACATATGGCAAAACCTATTTATAATCATTATTAAATACATTCGGTATAAAAGATTATGTAAACCCATATATGACATGAGGGGGGACACAAGTGAAGTTGGATTTCTAAGAGGCCGCCAACCTCTTAAAACAAAAAAAAATAAATAAAAAAATAAGTAGGCTGACTGGTTAAGTGGAAACAAACTTTTTAAATTCATCTACTCTTTTAGAGAGCCTTAATGAAAAAACATTATAATAATGAATACATGGGATGGTTAAACTTCTCACTAAATAATTTACTAATCAACAAAACATAGACAGTTTTTATTTCTCTACCCTAATCTATTTATTTTTTGTTAAGAATGCATTTGGATTATTTTGTTACCTTTGCCTTTCCATTTCTGCCAAACGTTCCACTTCGTCCATTTTTCTATCGTGGTATTTTTTCTTGTGCAGCTTTGTTGTGTCGATGGAAGCATCTGAACTGCTACTAGATGAGGAGTGGGATCTTTTCCTGAAACAGAAACAATGAAAATAAGATTTAAGTTGCTTTATTTTTCACACAAGGTTTACAGTAGGCCTACCTACATGATTGTGATATTTCACGATAAACATACGGGCTAATATGATAGCAGTAAATATATATACCATATCATACAGCCTTGTGCAAACTAAAACCTGTGAAATAAAAACTTATGTTAAAAATTATTCATTAACATAAAATATAAAATTAACATTTTGCTTGGTTAGAAGGAAAGCTTGGTTTCAGTTTCATTCACTTTTGGAACAATAATACTCCACTAAAAAAACTCATTGGTTAAGTACAATCTTAAGTAAACAGTTATTTTAGCTATAGTAAGTTGATTTTTAAGCTTGAGGGAAAATTTTTAAAATATAAAAAGAAAAAACCTGTCATTCTGCAGATGAAATTCCATTGAAAATAGCAGTGAAAATATTCGAGTGAAATAACTTTTTGATAGTAACACAATCACCAACTGCCTGAGTGGAGAATGGAACAAAAGCAAATTTATTGTAGTTCTACAGTTAGTTCTTTACTGCTCGTGTTAATGGAAATGATAAGATAAAACATGAGAAAATAAATTGATAACTTAACATCTTACCAACTTTCACATAAGTTACAAACTCAATGACATTATTCCAGACTAAAACGAACTCCTGCTAATTTTTTCAACTAGAATTTATTTTTTAAGCGTTAGCAAATATAAGTTACACATTTTTAAAGGTAGGCTGCATCTTTAAAGCCATTTTTCAAGGTTTTACCAAATCATTTAAACATTTTAAAAAATGTTCAAAATTTGTCTTTAAATCTAATAAGTAAATAAATTATGTTTTCCTACGGTTACCTAACAATCTACATGTTCTCTCGCTGATTTGAGAAAGCAAAGTGACCAATTCGCTCATCAGTGAGACAATGTTAACATTGTCGCACTCTAATTACTTTGTCTCACTCCAGATTTACAACGTGAAGGCACGAAATAGTGAGCGCGTAACATGCAGACAAGGTCGTATGCGTGCGAAATACGTTGGCAGCACTGGCTTTAAATCAGCTGGTCAGCTGTTTTACTGTTGTATCATTCAATGTCATATTAAAAGTTCACTTCTGTGTAAAAATATGTTACGTTTCTTTACAAATTTATTTGTTTTATGGTAACTGTAGGAAAAATATAATGTGCAACTCGAGTGCAAAGTGTAATTGCCTCACTCGAGAAACCATTCCTCACACGCCTACGGCTCGTGAGTAAGTATTTCTCTCGAGTGAGTCAATTGCTCACTTTGCTCACTAGTTACACAAATAACTATTTACCACTGTAGGCTATTATAAAATTTACTGACTGGTATAATTCCGACAATTTAATGTTTAAATGCTTTTATAGTTTAGTATCAGCAGCTTAAAGCATAGCTTAATAAGCTTGTTTTAACCAAATTTTATAAAATTTGGCTGGTTAATAAAAAAAAAATGCTTATTTAATTGCTTATTGCTTGACAATTAATTGTTAACCCTAGATCTGGTGGTAATTTTATTCACCAGTGGCGGGTATATTTTGGCCCTTTTGTGGTGGCCAATAATATATGACATGGCAGTGTTGGGGAAGCTACTTTTAAAATGTAGCTAGCTACAACTACTGCTACATTTCCAAAAAAGTAGCTTAGCTACAGCTACAGCTACAGTTCCGAAAAAGTAGCTAGCTACAACTACTACTACAATGAAATGTAGCTACAGCTACAATTTTAGCTACTTTTCCAAAGACGTTAATTTTTATTCCACGCACATTAGGTAAATGTAAAATTAATTGCAACTACATTTTTATTGAACAAACATTTAAAAAAATGTCAGTATTGTATCTAACATTACTTGGAAAACAAATTATTCCTAGATTGTATTTAATTTGTTGGCATTATAAACCTAACATTACAACAACAGAACCAAATAGTTGGGTGTCCCATCATATTTAGTAATTATTTTTAAATATTGCATTATTTTTAAGCATCTTAAAATGTAATTTTCATTAAGTTCAAAGGACATACAACCAAACTATATTTTAAAAGCTAATTTTATTAATTTAATATAGATTCATTTATAGATGTTTTATATCAACAATTAGGCCTAAGACCAATAAAACTGCAAAAAGATTATTTAAAAATACTTTTTGTGTTACAGAGCCTAGCCTACTGAAATTGGAGTTTATTGCCTTTCTTTACTTTTAATGTTAAAAACAACATTGCTATAACTTTTAAAGTGATAAATTACTTATTCTACGAATAACACTTTTCAATGTCAAGAAATCGTCCTTTATTGTCATTATTCATAGGGAAAATTATGCTTCAACCTAGAGAAAACAGTAGAGTAAACAGTATTCAGCAACTTATCCTGAAATCGGCTTTTAATTTAAACATGATGAAATTTGTAAAGTAAAAATAACATGTAGGCCTATGTAACTTGGCTATGTAACAAGTTGGCTATAGTAGGCTTGTTCTTGCAAGGACTAAACAGATATAGGCCTATTCATAATAATTGAACTTGGTATTCGTCTTAAACCATAGCCTCAGTCCTATACAAGAGCTGTTAGCAGGAGCAAACTATGCTATTTTTTCAATGTAAGTTTCATGTTATATGGAGATTTTTCATTACAATTATCATGTAGTCTAGGCATATCTTAAATCTCATCAGGTAATTTCCTCTTTGCTAATTTAGTAAACCTTTGAAAAATCTTCGTAATCTAACCAAAGGGCTTGTGATGATAAACCACAATCAACAGCTGAAGCAAAGGTTGATAGACCAGCTTTCTCATTATTTCAAGGTGTGTTGGTTTCCATTAAACCCCAGTCGAAGCATTATCGATATAATAAAGAAACTAAATTAATTACTAATTCCCCCTGTCCTGTCAATCACTTGCAAGCATTCAATTCAATAGCTTCTCTTGTCACCGGTACCGTTTACACGTCGTCTGCATCTAGCGATTTTATTTTATCTTACAGTAATCATAGAGTAGTAAATTAAGGAAATGAGAGCCAAAAATGTGGATAACACTCATTTAATGGCCTCTATGTCCACACAACGTTGTATAGGGAATGAAACGGCTGCAACCAGCTGTTTGAAGCCAAGAAAGTAGGCCTAATTTTTTTGAAAATCTCAGTTTGAAAGAGGTTGTTTCACGTAAGGTTGAGGTTATGATAAAAATCATTATCTCAAACAAATGTTAATGTAGCGAGAAAAGTAGCTAAAATTCCGCTACAACTACTTTAAAAATGTAGCTAGCTACAGCTAAAGCTACAAAATCTTAAAAGTAGTGTAGCTACAGCTAACGCTACAAAAAAAGTAGCGCGCTACTGTAGCGTCGCTACTTGTAGCGCGCTACTTCCCAACACTGCTTCCAACTTACCATTTACACGAACAGAATTTGCTATACACCTTGAATAACATCAAACAAATTTGCCTCGATATTGCTAGAGCAAAAAGAATCACAATCTTTTTACGTACTACAAATTGGTAATACGATTTAGATAGACTCAATATAAAATGTGTATATAACTTATTGTCTTTTCGCTGATTAAGTCACAGTATTTACATTAGCTGATGGTTTTAAAAGTGGTTGGAGAGCAAAATATAGTTCAAAGAAGAACTATAGATTTCACGAACATTTATTTTTATGGGGTTTTACGAGGCATGTTTTTTTAAGTAAGTACCGTTTTTAAATTTCTCCGTTCCAACACTGGGATTGGCAATTTCGACATTTGTGCTGTGTGTGGGCATCTATTGGTAAGACCTAGCCGGAAATTCGAGAAAAATCGGCTGTGTTTACATCCGGTTTCGAGCATTCAAAATGGTGCCGCCAATTGAGACTGCCGCCGACTGTGAAGTGCACGCTGTAATTAGATTTTGAAGTGCTTAAGGTGTGAAAGCTATTGAATATCATCGACAGATTAGTGAAATGTATGGCGAGAACATTATGAGTGACGGAATGGTACGCAAGTGTAAGGGCATTTTAAGAAGGCCCCACCAACGTTCATGATGAGCAAGGCACTGGGTACGGGAACAGTAATGACGCCGCCCAGTGCGTTACTCATCATGAACGTTAGTGGGGCCGTATTTAAATGCCTTTATCCACTTCCGTACCATCATGGTACTCGTAATGTTCTCGCCATACATTTCACTAATCTGACGATGATATTCAATAGCTTTCACACCTTAAGCACTTCAAAATCTATTTACAGCTTGCACTTCACAGTCGGCGGCAGTCTCAATTGGCGGCACCATTTTGAATGCTTGAAACCGCATGTAAACACGGCTGATTATTCTCAAATTTCCAGCTAGGTCTTACCAATAGATGCCCAAACACAGCGCAAATGTCAAAAATGCCAATCGCAGTGCAGGAACGGAGAAATTTAAAAACGGTAGCCTACTTACTTAAAAAACATGCCTAGTATATAGCCACAGAACATTTATTTGTGAATATAAGTACACGCATATATAGGGCCTATATATATTTTCTGTCTCAGTGATAAATGTGGAATAATATAAAAATAATTTTTTCTTAGCAATGCGTTTAGGCGTAGTAGCAAAAGAATTTTTGGATTATGCAAATTATAAATTTCAAAATCAACCCACAAGAAAACCACAAAATATTTTGCATTTTTTTCTAAATGTAAAGGTTGTTTAAAATATGATTCCCTACGCATTAATATTAATGTTTTTTAAATACTCATAAATGAAATTATTTAAAAAAAAATTTTTTGTCACGTAGGAAATAAAAGATGCATCAACAGAAAATAAAATGATTCTGTACAATAGGAAATAGAAGATCTTTCTGAAAATATATAGTTATATGTAGTTGAATTCTAACATTTCTGAGTAATTTACATCGAAATGTAAAATTTTGAAGATTTTTTTTACAAAAACATAATTTTTATGACATTTTTAAAACCAATTAACATTTTTACAATCAACCTCGTAGATTGAGAGGGAATTGTAGGGAATTTATTTTAGTTTCAGAATATGTACTAATATTGTAGGTATACAATTTAATTGACAATCGCCAAAAACAGCTGTTTATTGTAGTCAGGTGACCAAAACTTTCCACCTCCAAAATCTATTTTGAACCCTCTAGTTTTTCAAACTAGGCTATGTTTCTCGCTACATAATACTTACTCAATAATGTTTTACACATGAAAATGAAGCCTAAGAATCTCATCTTTCTAATGGTATAAGATTTATTGGGTTTTAAAATGGTTTTAATATTTTAATAATAGAAAAACCCGACCCATGTCGTCTTGGTCGATAATCGACCGAGCACCACTGAGAACTCACGTTTTAGTGGTCGAAAATCGACCAGCGCCTTATGTAGGGTTACAGCATTGACATGAAAACATTAGACCTTTTGCCTTCTTGTGGCCAGCAGTCAGCTTGTCATTGTTCACCCAGCACCGTGCCTCTCAGGTTGTACGGCCGCTGGCCATTGTGGTTTCTCTGTTAGGTTGGTCACCATTCTGCCAACCCAGCTACAGCAGCTTGTATCGAGTATTTTTTTTTTTTTTTATAAGGGTAAGTTTTACACATTGAAAAAAAAATAAATTCAAATAAGTCCAATATTATTATATTTTATTGAAAGCTACCGGTAATGAAATAATAAATACAATTAAAATTAAAATTTGCTGTTTTAAGTTCATACTTAATAAAACACTAGCAGTCATACCCGTGCTTCGCAACGGGAAGAGAACGCTAAGAATAATTATGTTCCAGATTTGCTGATGTAGATAAACTTTTAGTGATCCACTAAAAAAAATTAAATGGTTACCCCGTTTCCCAAACATTTTTTGGGGGGAAATAAACCAAACACAATAGAATTTTGTTGACAAATTTAGGGAAAAAGAAAGTCAATATAACTCTGAAAAAATCATACTTTGACAGTTCTCATTTTGTATCCCAGCTTTTTGTTGCTGCTTGGTTCAAATTAGCTGATGTCATCAATTTAAGCAATTAATAGTGCTGCACCCTGATGGTAAACCTTATAACTTTTTAATGCTATTGGATATCACAGAATCAAATTGTTTAGTTAAAACAACTGTTAAGATTCTTTAGTTCCATTTAAATATGAGTAGGTACTCATAAGGTTAACATGGGAAACTTCAGAGCCAATGGGGCGGAGCCCTTTTGACGGATCTGCGCCAAACTTCACACAAACCATCCTTAAATGAAGCTTAATAATGCCTGAAAGTTTCATGGCAATCGGTCCAACGGTGTCCGAGCTCATATCGTTCAAATATATTTAGCCTATATATACAAACTTTCTCTTTCATAAAAATAGGCCTATAGATTGAATATTACAAATGGACAAAAGAATTACTGTTGCTATGGAAACAATATCCAATTGCACTTTCTTATAACAGATTAACCTTCCAGTATCCACGCGGCTAATAGTTACGAATTGTGGATAATTATAGGGATGCACTGTGGATGCGATGCTACCTGGTGTGGATTAACATCCGCACCAGCGAGTACTACGACTATCCGCAGTACTATCGTAATAATTAGACCAATTCGTTAATTACGAGGAAAAATGTGGTTCGGATTCCACAATAAACTGTAGGTCCCTTAGTTGCCATTAGCTGTATGGGCTATTAATTAACAGCTGTGTCTAAGGAACATGTCGGCCTTAGTCACTAACAAGACTACAAGATCGCGCCACTCATCCTACACTCATCCTTCACTCATATTTGGGTTAAAATACGCACATAGTGGCGTCCCCATCTTAAATAATTGATAATTGATAGTTAGACCAGTAGCCTGTGTATATTGGTAATCCAAATATAGGTAGGCCTACAAATAGATATAGGCCCTAGATAAATTTCAAAAAAATACAAATATTTCAAATTGAATATGTCGTTTTGAAAACCAATCAGTCAATCGCCTGTTCTTCATCCTCTAGAAAGATGACGCACATAACTTTACACCCTCGTAGCTCAGAGCCAACTGACGCTAAGACAGTCAAAACACCACATTGTCCTTGGAAAGGTACGGTAAGTTAGTGGGGGAAGGTAGATGGGGCGTCATTCGCTTGGGGATTCACTTATTTCGGCGCGCTTTTTCGAAAATGTGTGGCCTCTGAGTCCGCTGCGTGTGTACTGGAGGGTTGATCCAAAAACCTGTTCCAGTCATCCTACATACAGGTTACAGAATAAATAATCTTTTATCCTGGTAAATATTCTTTTATCCTGGAAGAACTTTCCTAAAATGGCTTAGAGAATTCAAAGGGTTACATTTGGTAGGTACCAACCACAATATAAGTACCGGGTGTCCCACGAAAGGGTTTAAACGTTTTATTTTATATTACGTGCCCATTCATACACCGAACTTTTTTAAACTTTACATTGTTTACAAAGTAGGTTCTAAAAATATTCTGGAAAAATTTCAACTCCCTAACCTTAGTAGAAACAAAATGGCGGCATATTGAAAAACGATACTTTAAAAACATTAAAAAAGGTATTTTTGGTTTTATAAAATATTTTTATTGTTAGGCCTACTTTCCAGGGCAATATGACTTTTAAATAAAAAAACTAGAACAAAGCCAATCAACATTAGGTACAATCAAACAGCTGTTCTTCAACAATGAGCGTTAGAACCGCAACGTAGTAAACAAATCAGATAATAAATCATGAAAGTAGTTTTTATAGGAAGCAAATTGGTAAATTTTTCAATAGGCTATGCCGCCATTTTGTTTCTACTAAGGTTAGGGAGTTGAATTTTTTCCAGAATATTTTTAGAACCTACTTTGTAAACTGTGTAAGTTTAAAAAAGTTCGGTGCATGAATGGGCAGGTAATATAAAATTAAACGTTTAAACCCCTTAAACGTTTAAACCCCTTCGTGGGACACCCGGTAAGGTACCTATAAGTGGGCAAAACATTTACAGATCGCACAAAAGTAGTAGGCTAAGTTATAAAGGCCTTTAATTTAATGAACGTTTTAGAGAGCTTTGAAATTTATAAAGCCACAAAAAATTCACCACAGGATGTTTTGAATGAAAATATATATTTTGGCTCAAGTAGGCCTATTATTAAGTTATTTGAAAGTCGGCTATAGAAACCATATCAGTTAAAGTACCGGTAACTGCAAGCACTATCAGCTGAACACACTCCCACCCTACGGTCATTGTCACCAACGGGGCAACAGCTTAGTTGTGTTTGTCGTATCAATAGCCTAAGTTATATTGTCTTGTCAATTAATAGTCGAATAGGCCTAGTCTTTTAACGAGTGGTATTATTCACTAATGTATTCCGTAGTAAACACTAAACCTTCCTCCGTTTTGAATGAAGTAAAACTTAAGCTTAGAGCTAGACCTCTTATTGGGGAAAACAATCCCCGGCAGATGCAATAAAAATTGGATGATAATAATTGCCGTTGCCGTACTTAACGAAACAATCGCCATGAACATCTCGCTAAAAAGACTCTTGGTAAGGACTTCTCGCTTCTCGGTTCTCTAGACGAGATACGAGAGAAGCGTGCTGAAACGAAACAATCGTCACAAGCATCTCGATAAAACCTCTGGGTATAAGAACCTCTTGCTAAGCAAAAATACAATCGAAACGTCTCGAGAGTTTCAAGCAATCGAAACGTTTCGATTGTAACATCTCGCAATCGCGCATCACTAGGCCCTACTGCAGGCCTATGTAACTTACTCTCCCTAGTAGGCGTACTAGTACTAGTATTATACCTAGTAGATACTTTATCTCTAGGCTATTAGGCCTAGGTAAGAGGTAATTTAGCCTACCTTGTTAGCGGTATTTGTATGTAACTTAGCTGAAATGAAATGAAAGCTAGCAGATGCTTACCTAGTTTTTGAGCTTCTTTCTCTAGTTTTATCACCATGCTTGTGTGAACTTCGTTCACGAGATTTTGACCTCTTGTGAGAATGTTTATTTTTATGATGTCGCCTTCTAGGAGATTTACTTCTAGACCGTGAACGCCCCATGAAGGAAATGGTTGTTCAGGAAACCTCTATAAGTTAGACGAAACCAGGGAGTAACCAATAAATTAATTAACACTTCCAACTAACTTTTGATATAGTTCCACGTTGTAAAGGTATGCGGACTTAATGTGCCACTATTATACTTAAACAAAACTTTAAAATGTCACCAAGAAAACCAAGTTTAATAATACATTAACTCTCCTCCTGGAGAGTGGAGACTGGAGTGGAGAGAAGAATCAATTCGTCCGCTGTCTATAATGTGGGGCACACGGGAGGGACTAAGGCTAACATATATTCATAGATAAAACATACTATTGTAGTGTCAGCGTTCGCCGCTAGAACCGCTAAGATGAAAATTTTTTTTTTTTAATTTTCAGTTTTAAAATTAACTTTCCCCGTGTGCCCATTCCCTGTCAATGCTATGTCCCCTTCCTTGTCGTCTCGGGTGGAAGTCCTCCACCATGGTCTCGTCAGGGGCCCTATTTTTGAAATGGTTGACTGTTGAGTTGAGTGTCGAGTCATTCTATTTCCAATCGTTTCGTATTTTTGAAACGATTGACGGTGGACTTATACAACCAAAACTACTCAACACCTATCGAGCTGTTGAGTGGAGGTTGACTGCACTTTCTTCTTCCTCTCTTTCGGCAAAAATTACTTTTTGAGTCGACGCCATATTGTTTTGTTATTGCTTTAATTTACTAATTGCAATTTAGAGGTTATGTATTTGTTGTCAATGTCTTAGCACCCAATACTTTATGCGATTGTTAATTTTATTTACTTTGTCAATACTAGACTATTTAATCTATTTACTTTGTTATAAGACTATTTAATTTGTTTGAAATACACTAGGCATACTAATTGAACTTATTAAAAGATAATTATTGTTATTAGACCTATGATTTAAGGTATTAAATATTGTGGTAGAGAGAAACAATATCATAGTTTGTTTCAATACCATTCACCTATAATGAAGGGATCAAATTAATTTAAGTTATTATAAGCTTTCAGTGCAATGGCAAATAGCCATAAGCTTTAACCTAAATAAAAACACAATTAAAAATAACATGAAACAACACGATGAAGAAAACTTAAATAAGGTGATGTGTTCTGAAATAGATACGAAGAAAGCAAATAATATAATGTATTTAGGATATGCCTAAACTTATAATGAGCTACACCATAAAACAAACAAACATCCATAGTACATTTTATTGTTAATACTTATAAGTTTAAGTTTAAGGTACTTTTGCAATCACTAAGATTAAGCAAGACATAACCTCAATCTCTCAGTCTCAAGAACAGAGTTGACAGTTTACCTCAGTATCTCGAAATATGGTAGATTGAGATTAGCTGATCCAGATTTTAGAGTAAGAAGAGGTAAAATCGAAGATCACAAAAACTCTGCATTGTGATTGGTTTAAAATGACGTCATCTGAATTTCGGGCGGTCGTATGCTCTACATTTCCAAAACGAGTCACTCAACTAGTGATTTCCTACTCACTTCCAAACTGTTGGATTTCAAAAATACCAAATCCTGTTGTTGGTTGAGTTGAGTGTCGACTGTAGAGTCAACTGTCAACCATTTCAAAAATAGGGCCCCAGTCGTCTCATCACCCAGTCACCCTTACGCTCTTACGTTCTTGTTCTTTATCTTCTCCGTTCTCCATGACAGTACAGTAATCTAATAATCGTGAGTAATACAGAATTTCAGTCCAGTGTTGCCACCCTGGACCATGAAAGCTCCCCACCTGACTAAGAAAAAAATCCCCAATTCATCCCCAGCTAAAGCAAAAATCCTCCAATTAGTTTTCCTCACTGAGCTAAAATTATAACTGGAGGTAGCACTGCCATGGCAGAAGTCTGTCAAAAGCGTGTCGCTGATTTTGTTAGGTTGGTATAGCAGTAAGTTTTCTTATCATAGCAATGACATGGCTTCTTATAACTAGGTTGGTATAGCAGTGAGTATTTTTGTCATACTTGAATACTTTTAATACTTTAATAATTTTCTTTGAAATGGTGACCATACAAAGTAGGTATTTTAAGCCAAGTATAATAATAGTTATAGCAATAATATGGCTCCTTATGACACCAGACTCACGCAAACATGGCGGCTGGCGATACGCATCTTTGACATTCAGTGCTACCTCCAGTTAGAGTTATAGCTCAGTGGTTTTCCTCTATCCAACCACCAAATTCTACAAAAATCCCTTTTAACTAGCAATTATACCCAATTCCGAAAAGGGGCCTAGTATGAACCCGACCGTCACTAACGGTGATGATTCTTAAGGCCCTTTTCTGCATCTTGAGAATCTCCACTGTGCGTGGTGAACGTCCCCACAAAACAGTCCATATATGTGACGTGGCAATGGAATAAGGCAAAGTAGACCATTTTAAGGTAGTCCTCAGTCACAAACGATCTCAGCTTTAGAAGAAGGGCGCAGACACGAGAGACTCTATTTATAGTCTGGTCGATGTGCTGATCCCAACCTTAGCCTATTGTTCAATACAATACCCAAAAGCTTTACCTACTTGGTTCTGCTCTAACGGGAGGAATGTAACCCAGACTGCAAACCATCCTCTCTGGGTCTTGTTGAGGTTAAGCTGGAAACGGTTTGCTACAAACCATTCCATACTACCCGACAATGTCAAGAATCTTGGTATATCTTTCAACTCTTCACTTATACTTGGGACGTAGCAGTTACGGACACACGAAAAAAGGTTTTTGCCTCCATACATTCATTGAAAAGATTACAGAATTTTTTACCACAACACACTAAACTACATTTGATCAAATCACTTGTACTACCCCACTTCAGTTACTGCAACTCATTGATCAATGACTTGACTGCGACTAAGGCGGGTATGCTCCAGCGGTCACAGAATTATTGTTTGAGATTTGTCTATGGTCTGCGACGTATGGAGCATATCACGCCATACTACCTTGAGGCACACATCCTGAAATTAAATGATCAAAGATTCATTAAAATTTTGTCATTGGTTTTTTCAATTTTGAAAACAGGCTCCCCAAAATATTTCAAATCCGATTTTAAATTTGTGTCTCAGGGTAGTTCACGAATGTCTCGTTATTCTTCGATCACATTGCGTATACCTCATCATGTGACCACAGCTTATGGCAGGGCTTTTGTTGATACCGCTTGTCGTCTGTGGAACGGCCTTACCCCTACACATTAAGACCCTTGAAAAACGTTCCCAGTTTGTGGCGGCACTGAAAAAGCTCTATTTTGAGAAGATGGTCTCGGCTGGCGTGTCCTAGGGCTACTGTTACCTTGCGCGTTTGCTGATGCGTGTATGCGAGAGTGTGTGAATGTGTTTTTCTATTTGTTAAATTTTTATGTTTTTTAGTTATGTAGGTACTTGAATTGTTAAATATTTTATGTTTAATTAGATTAAGTTATCCCTATGTCACATTATTTTTGTTATATTTTTAATGTCAGGTTAAGAGTAAGAAATGGCCATGTGGCCCTAACTTTTAGGTCATTATGGAAAAAATCTCTCTTTTACAACTTGTCACGACATGGGAATAATTGAACTAATAATAACTAAGAATAACTGAACGGATGGTGTTTCTGCCCACTGGGGACCTCAAAACGAAATAGTAAATTTGTCCTGGGTCCAGGTCTTACCATTAGACCTACTGTAATAGCTTATTCCCTATATGTGAAATTCGCTAAACATATTTGAATTCATTAATCCATAGTAAATAAACGGTATCAGCATTCTGACCCATACTTTCTCCCATAATCTTGTCAACAACCTTTATCATGGGCCATTTTAGAAAAAATCAGGTTTTTCCGTTATTTTATGTGGTGTTTATGGGAAAACCCCCATTAAAAATCAAAATTTCAAAATATCAAAAAACGCCTGGAGTGGATGGAGATAGATGCCCCTTAATAGATATATCCACTCAAAATTCAAACTCGAAAATGTTGACGAAAACAGAGAAAGTAGCCTAAAAAACAAATCACGTGATCAATGTTCAGGAGTATAGTATCATAGATAAAACATACTCCATTCAGTTTTCACTCCACCTCCACCACCACCTCGTCTGTTTGTCTGCATCAGATCAGTGCATCATCTCCTCCCTCAAGCCTAGCTCTTATAATCTTATAGCTCAGTCAGTCACTCAGTGAGCTCTACCTACCTAGCTCAACCTCTGTCAAATATCAACAAAATAACAGAATTAGTCTAACCTAACCTGTCGCTGTGGTAGTTGTTTATTTATTTTATGATTATTAGTTGTATCTGTGTGTAGTTATCTAATCAATCATCGTCATTAGTGTCCAGTAGTCAATATCTAATAGTATTGATTAAGATGGATATGATAACTTGTGAATTTAAGCACTAAAGTTAGTAACTTAGCAGGCATAAGTTACCCTTTTCATTGCTATTTATAACTCTTGTTCTAAAGGCTGGAAATTCATATTTATTTGTAAATTATTTATAACATGAAACACCTCAGAAGACCTATTTCAATATTTAATTGCCTTAAAATGAATAATTTATTCGGGACTAATACCACTGTAGTAACACCTAGGTCTAGGACAATAAATATAATGGTTCATCAAATCAAATTCAGACAGTTTCACGCCACAATCCAATCGATAAGAATCACCAATAAATTTATGATGGGATATACCTATAAGACTCTTGTTTCAAACAGCTCGAAAAATGTGAATCAACTTTCAAAGATATTCCAGTGTTCAGAGGAAGAAGTAGTCAATCTCTTTTTAAATTACAACCTGGAAAATTTAAATGTCTATGAATTACAAAACTGTTATGAAATATTACAAACCTATGGCATAAACACAGCCACTATCAAAGAAAACATATGGATTTTATTCTTTAACATACGTAAGTAACTTAAATGAATTTTGTAATTTTTAGGTTATCTCCATGGTGGAAGATTTTCCTTTCACCATGGGTTATCTCCATCTAAGTTATCGATCTATCTATATTATTAATACGCTACATGAAATTTTGTGAACAAAAAGGTTTTTGTTTTAAGATTTAACCCCACACCGTACCAAAATGTTTGTCTAGGTGTGTAGATTTCCAAACTGGCCTTACATTTTTGAAAAAGTCCCTTGGGCTCTGCCCCAGTGGCTTTTAAAGTTCCCATGTTATCCTTTTGAAGAATATATTTGGCAAATATTTACTGTATTTACATTGGGATATGATGTTATTTTTATAGGCCTATGTCTACTTAACTTACAGTATTTTTAACGCTGAATCCAAAAATGCAATAAGTTTTTGTCGGAGAGATTCCTAAGTTGCCGTAGTGGCCGTAAAACGAAGGTTAGGATTACGAATCTAAGGATAATTGAGCGGTATTGAAGGTAATGGTAATATGGCGTGGTCTGGACTGGACGGGTCTGTACTGAGTGAGGAGTGAGGAGGACTGAGTGAGAAGAGCAAAAAAACTTTATACTTGATCTAATGCGGAATGAAATCAAATCAATTTGTTTTGATTTTTGAAACCAAATAAAATAATCAGTTCCTAAGCGGTGTTTACACTGTCGTGGGGCCACGGCTAAAGTCAGGCGTGTAGGTGAGAAATTTTCTCACTTTCTTGACAAGCGTGGCCACGCTTCGTGTAAACAATGAAGACGTGGGAGCAACAGACGTGGCAACCCAATACGCCTGTTCCCCACGCCCTTTGGAACTAACCAAACCGTGTTTGGTTGCTACGCCTGTTGCAGGCGTGGCTAGACGTGGTGAGGGTCTTTCGTCTCGTTGTTGTGTGTACTACGAGTTTTAACTATTGTTCTTTAAAGTCAGTGGTTGTCGTCTTAGTTTTTAAGTACCATGACGAAAACAAAAAAAGTCTATGACATTGACACAAGTCGAATCAAAACCGGTGAAAACAAAGCAATCTTTACAATTAACGGAAGTTAAAACAATTTGAATGCTTGAACTGTATCAAAGTGAACCTTGTTTATTTTCAGATATAAATATTGAATGCTACAGCTTGGTTTCGTTCCTTTTTTAATAACACTTAAATGCCGTGCTATTTCATCAGCTAAAATAACACTCGTTGTAGCACAACCTTCAATAATTAATCTTTTGGCACAATCCATAACGCACCCGTAAATAAAAATGAACATGCCTTTAATGGATACGCTTTTACCAGAAAACTGTTTACACTACACGGCTGCTTGTGGCCGTGGGACGGTACCGTGGCGCCACGGCATTTGCGTACGGCTGTCCATTGGCGTGGCGACCACGCCTGTTATGGACGTGGCCCCACGACAGTGTAAACACCGCTTTATTTAGGCATGTGAGAAAGGTAGGTCGGGTTTTATGCGGATTCGTGACTGTATTAAGTGTTTTGAAGTGAGGTTAGATTAGGAAGGTAAAGGTTAGGTTATAATGATCCGACTCATTAATTTATGCAACTTCCAGACTGTTTTTGCACAATTAAATAGTGGGTGAAACACAATGAAATAACAATATCAAAAATGCGCAAGCTCAAAATATTTTGAGCCATACGAAGAAATATTTCTTTCTTTCTAGTACTAGCCTAAAACATGTAGGTACTATTCCATCTAACAATGATAGCATCAGAGTCTGACCCAAGTCTGAATGTCGATTTGATAAAGAAATTCAATGAATGTGGAAAGCCATATGAAGGCCTAGCTTCTGAGATCGTTTTCACAATGGCATAGGTATTGCTAAATAATTATTCAAAGAAAATAAACGATTCAGTCAGTAGGCCTTTAAACAAGAAGATCTAGATTTATGGTTTGTCAGGTACCGGTAGATTAAAACAATAATATTAACTAGTGTCCCTGTTGCTCGAATTCGAGCAATTGCTAAGTAATATTTGTAGCAAACTGTTATAATAGGCCTACTATATTAGCAAACTTATTGACTGTTTAGGATTAACCTATGCTCTTCTTCTCACTTTTGATTTCTGACAACAGCTGGAGTTTCATAACAATTTTTGTTTCCAATGTTAATCTTATGGAGAAATACGAAACTTTAAAGGGCTCCAGGGCCTCACTCTCTCATTATTTCCCTAAAAAGAAGGTTTCCTGCACAACTTCACGTTACGCTCTTTCCAATGACACCAAAAACATGTCAATCGGTTCAGTAGTTTCGGAGGAGTAATTGTCACAAAAATCATGCTTGCGTATTAAATAAGTATAGATATTTCAAATTAAAAATAACTTTGTTTAAACAATCTTTATTTTATTTTACTCTTTCATTTGTAATTGGGATTTTTACAAGACATTTTCACATTCATTGTAATTATTACAAAATACTATAAATAGAGGCCTACAAGCAAACAAACATAATATGTTTGTATTTTAGTTTTAGACAAACTTTTTTCTGTTAATGCCGTATTTATAGAGCAGCGAAAACAGCAAAGCTCTCATTTAAGTTATAGCCTAGCATGTGTGAAGATGGACCCAGAACGGGTGTGATTGTGGCGTTGCCAGTTCGAACGTCGCGGCCTTGTATTAGAGGTGGCTGTGGTCTATATCATTCCAAAGAACGCAAGTTTTTTCTTGTATCATTTTTGGCCTATGTTTTGGATGTTACAATAGCAGGCCTACCAACAGTAGTTTGTTTTCTATAAGAAATTGTTAACACCTCTTTAACACTCAGGCACAGACAATGGAATAAACATTAAAGTATTATATTGTCTGTGACTCAGGTCTCACGACTCAATGTGGTCAATTTTGGGAAGTACCTATGGTCAATTGGAAGATGAAAAGAAGAAGTAGCCTATTGTATTCTGACCCAGTTCTGAAGCATCTGATAAATCTATCTAATCTGTAAATATGTTTCTCTTTGAAGCTAATTTTCAGTGTTCAGAGCTCTTTGAAACTGACCAAAAATCAATCATTTTAGCCTCTGGATTGCTTATATATTAATTGATATTATAAGGCCTTACCAACGGATTCTATTCCTTACGGTGGATTCTATTTTAGAAAATTTGGTCTACTAGATCCCGACTGATGATGGACCTTCGGGCCCGAAATTAATTTCGGATCAAAAAACAGGATTGCTAAGGTAAGGCCTTATAATATCAATTGACCAAAAATGTTGACAAAGTTGTATTGTGATCTGAATCTTAGTTGACCAACTTTTCAAACTATTATTTCCTACTATATTGATTGATAAACTAACTTAGTAGTCCAGTCAAGGAATGAGGTGTAGAGTGCGTGAGCAGGTAAGTAAGCCATTCCTTCAGAAACTTGTTCAGGGAGCTTAGGGTGTTAACATACCAAAAGTCCTGACTCCTAGGTGGTAGGCCAGGGGGTGGAGGGGGAAAAGGGGAGGGGGTTAAAGGTACGCATTTTGGGTTTTTCGATTATATCTCTGATTAGGCCTATACCCTGAACAAGTCTCTGAAGGAATCGTTTAGTTACCTGCTCACGCACTCTACACCCATCATTCACTGACCATCATTCATTGACTGGACTATTGTGATAAAGCGGATAACAGATAAGGTCAAACAACAGCAGGCAATAGACAAAAAGGTGAATTATCCTCCGTACGAGGTGCATGTCAGATAGAGCTCATTGAACCATGTTTAGGTCTTTAAAATTTCCTCTTATACAGTAACAAGTTTTACTAAGGATTTAACAATCAAATTGACGTTTTATTGACCTATTATATTGAGTATTATTAGTGTTACTAAATAAAGGCTTTTTTAAAATAAAAAAAATTCATTTTGTTGCAGATAAACTTACTTCACGGCTAGAGCTCTTGGTCAAGTGGAGGTTCAACGATATCAACAATGCAGTCAGATTGTTACAGCTTCCTTTTAGAACTTTTAAAAGATACACGTTTCAAACTGAAAGAGACTTTGACTCTTTGAACGGCCAAAATAGAATGACTTACTTCTCATCATTTACCAAGGTAGGCTCTAGTCCACAATGACTTCTTTGAAAATAAATTTTAGGTAGGTACACTCGGCGGGGCCCTCAACAAGGCTGAGAGGGTGTTTCCCACCTGCTGAAAACAGCTAGTCCTGTGCTAGTACGGAAAGGGAAGGGAACCTGATCCCTTTACAGACCTCTCTGTATGTTGGACAAGTCCTCAAGAACCAGAAAGTAGCGAAAAGTCAGTCTTGGTTGTTTATTTCCCGCGTCCATCCAGATGTCTGCGAGGAAGGTTGTTGAGTCTTATATAAAGGCCGGTGGAGTTGAATCTTTTGAGTTCTGTGAATTGGTGAAAAAATTTAATAACTATAAGTCTGTTAAAGTTGGAATTCCTGAAAAACGTTGGGAATATGTGTTCTGGGTAGAGTTCTGGCCCAAGGGCACCCTAATAAAAGAGTACACAGTGAACAAGAGGACAACTAATACAATGGTTTGGTTTTTTTAGGGAGATAACACCAAAAAACCACAGTTCGGTAAATTAGTGTTTAATTAATATACTCTAACAGAACATGCAGAATAACAGTCATAATTTCAGATGACTTTAAAATAGTTGACTCAAAGATTATAAAAATACTCACGATGTACATAACAGTTTGATATAATAAAAAATTCTCGTATATATCTTATCATTTTTTAAAAGCTGGTCTCTTTTTTTAGTGTTTTCTACAAATGTTTCCCACTCATAGCCGCTGTTAGGCTGTCCATAATAACGATTTTAAATAAATAAAAAAAAACATTATTTCTATTTCTTCTACTTGGTGGTTTTCTATGACTTTCCTATGTTTCCATTGTGAGGAAGTTTCCTCCAGAGCACTAGGCCTTATCAAGGGTGGTAAGGGTCGATAAGTGAAAGACTCTGGGTATCTCAAACTTCCATTTTATTCCCTGATATCCTTATCCTAACACATATGGTTATATATACAATATTATATACAGTCTTGATCCTGGGTCCGTAGTCCTCCTACCAGGCAGTGTCTACGGGCTCGTATTCAGGGGTTGGGCAGAGGTTGGATCAAGTCTTGCTTGCGCCCTTACTGGCCCGGTGGTCTACGACACTCCTAAAAGATATCCGTGTGGGTCCGCGGTCTAGATCCTTGGCACCTTCACCCCGGAATCCTCGGTCCCCTAGCTGCTGCTCTCCACTGGAGACGGTTCTGGCTTTCCAAGCACAGAAGTCAAGCTGGGCCGGTTTAATGTGCTACTGCTCTCCACTGGAGACGGTTCTGGCGTCACTTGCTCAGAAGTTAGCACTCTCTAGGCAGTCTACTCGGTCTGCAGTCCGACGTAAACTCCTTCAACACTTAGCGTATACCTATGTATATGCTTTAAAGGTGGTGGGGGACTCCAAAGTCCTCCCCTCCACCTACGACTACGGACCCGCGGGCTCAACACGCCCATGCGAGGGTGTCGGTGGCTCAACACGCCCGTCCGACAGTGCTGGTGGTTCAACACGCCCGTCCAGCGGTACCCGTGGCTCAACACGCCCATCAGGTGTCCCGCGGGCTCAACACGCCCATGCGAGGGTGTCGGTGGCTCAACACGCCCGTCCGACAGTGCTGGTGGTTCAACACGCCCGTCCAGCGGTACCTGTGGCTCAACACGCCCATCAGGTGTCCCGCGGGCTCAACACGCCCATGCGGGGTGCCGGGGGCTCAACACGCCCGTCCAGCGTACCCGTGGCTCAACACGCCCGTCAGGTAACTCGCGGGCTCAACACGCCCATGCGAGGGTGCCGGGGGCTCAACACGCCCGTCCGACGGTGCCGGGGGCTCAACACGCCCGTCCAGCGTACCCGTGGCTCAACACGCCCATCAGGTGTCTCGCGGGCTCAACACGCCCATGCGAGGGTGCCGGGGGCTCAACACGCCCGTCCGACGGTGCCGGGGGCTCAACACGCCCGTCCAGCGTACCCGTGGCTCAACACGCCCATCAGGTGTCTCGCGGGCTCAACACGCCCATGCGAGGAAGTCGGGGGCTCAACACGCCCATGCGAGGAAGTCGGGGGCTCAACACGCCCGTCCGACGGTGCCGGGGGCTCAACACGCCCGTCCAGCGTACCTGTGGCTCAGCACGCCCATCAGGTGTCTCGCGGGCTCAACACGCCCATGCGAGGGTGTCGGGGGCTCAACACGCCCGTCCGACGGTGCCCGGGGCTCAACACGCCCATCAGGCCCCACACCGGTGGCTCAGCACGCCCATCCGGCGTGGTCGGGCCCGGAGGCCCAACTGACTTCTCGGTGCCAAACACCCTGGTTAAGTACCCGCCGAATGGTACCCAAGAGGTGGGGGTGAGTACCTTACCACCTCCATCGGAGCATCTCTCCCCTCCTTTGGAGTCATTTCGATGTCTCCGAGTACCTATGTATGTTTAACCTAAAAAATTCTCTTGGGAGTTAAAAACACTTCTTTACACCATAGTTTGCAAATCGGCTCTTTCAATGATTGCTCAAGAAATACAGCACAGTATTAATTCAGTATTCTTTTTAGTATATCAAAATGTCCAGGCTTTCTCGCTTAATTCCATTGTATTACGCCAACCCAAATTCAAATAGTAAATATTTCATTTTAACCAAGTCAGTAAATGCTTGTAGCATACGTTTCCTTAAATTGCAACTAAAATATTAACAGCAATAAATTATTCAGCTGAGCATAATGTGTGAACAAATATGTTCTTCATAAGGAAAAAGCCACTTGGTAAGAGCCCAAAGGGACTTTAAAAAAAATGTCAGGTCAGTTAGCAAATCTACACACTTAGACGAACATTTATATATGGAGTTAAATCCACCCAGCCTCAACATAACAAGCTATTTCATCAGCTAAAATAACACTCGTTGTAGCACAACCTTCAATAATTAATCTTTTGGCACAATCCATAACGCACCCGTAAATAAAAATGAACATGCCTTTAATGAATACGCCAATGAGTAATTTTTAGTAACCAATCAAACTGTACTGTTTTTGTACTGTAAAAATTGTTTTTACATTTTTTATATGTGTTTTTTTTTTTAATTTATTTTGTGGATTGTTAGTTCGTAATGTGTAAAAAAAAAAAAAAAAAAAAAAGCCTTATTGTTCACAAAGTTTCATGTAGCATATTAATAATATAGATATCACTTGATGCTTTTGATTTTTTTCAGTGCAAGGAAAAAGATGCCAGTGACCTCTTCTTTAACTATCGTTTCATGATGACAATAAATTTAGATTGTTTCACAAGAATTCTAGAGGTGACAAGAGGTAAAATAATTGTTATGGACACTTTCTCTTTTTATTTTATTTTGAATTCTCCAAAACAGAATACAAATCCCATTTACATTGCAGCTTTATCCTAGTTTATACCGTACACAATTGAGAACATGCTATGAGTTCATGAAATTGAATATAGCCTTTAAAAAAATACTCTTTTAAAATACAATAACTAAAATGCCAAGAAAAAATGGAGTAACACAGAAATATCCCGCCACAGCAAACCTGCAGACTAAGCTAATTTCCATTTGCCTGACGGGATTTTCACTAAAATATCTCCCTAAAAAGTCACATTTATTGTCCATTTCAATAACATTAGTTTAACAAGTATACTTAGGTTTGCTGCCAGCGGGAAGGTCATAAGGTGTTATTATAGTTTAATGTTTATGGTACCTATAGTAAAAAATAAATACATTTTCTAAATTTGATCAAAATGTGTTTATAAACAAGCAAATTACAACAGTTTACTGGTTCTCCATAAGAATAACATGGGAATTTTAAATTAACAGTTCTTTAAATTTTCCGCGTAACCATTTATTGTACAAAAAAAACTTTAGGATACTAAATTATTGTTTTTTCAAGATCTATAAAACGGTCTTTAAGTACCAAAAATGAGAAAAACCAATCCTACCCCATAAAGCCCGGTTCCCATAGTCCGATCATGCTTATTCCCAAACACGTTTGAATAAATGTAGGCTTAATCGTTATATATAAATTTGAAAGGATGGTGTTATAGTTTTTGGTCTCTGGAGACATCAGAACAAAAAATCAGTCCTGGCTCCAGGTCTTACGAGACCTACGGTAATAGCTCATATGGGAAATTCTTAAAAAAATCTAAATTTAAGTCTCTCTCTTCTCTTTTATTAATTATAAAGATGTAGGATAGCAATTACAACATAGCATACTTTACTTTAAAATTACTAAGCTTTTTAATTAAATTTTGTTTGTGGTGACAAAAAATTTAGCCTATATAACTTTTTAAAATATTTTTCCTTTTAGTATTTATTTTTTGATAGGAGTAATATTTATTATTTAAATATAAAATAAAACATAGTTGTATCAATGGTAATACAGTGGAACCTTGATAACAAGACCCTCGATAACAAGTCACCCTTGATAACCATTGTCATTTTCAAACTCCCTAGAATTTATTTTACCTTTTAATTACATGTTATTGTAAACCTCGATAAGAAGTCAACATTGATAACAAGTTGTTTGGTTTTAGTTTAATATATTTGAATTTTCAACTAGTACCAGGATTTCCAAAGATAGCTTATCTTATCTGACCTACTTTTCCAGTCTGCACTGTCCACTCTTGCCTTAGTTAACCCAGAGTCAACATGTACTCCTTGCTCATTCTCTTGTATATAGTAGATTAGATTTTGACTGTTTTAAAGTGAACTAATAACGTTTAACATGTAATTATTAAAGTATGTGTTTTATAATATCTCCCCCTTCTCAATGTCAGAGAGTGCCTTTTAATTTGTAAAAATACCAAAGTGTTGTGACGGGAAGACCTCTAAATGATTTTGTGACCTTCTACCATCTACGGATTCTACGGCTACGCAGAATCCCCTCATCTACCCGCTCCTGGAGAAGATTCACCCATTCAAAGACTGTCCGCCCCTGGTGATCTTCGCTCCCCGCTTCAGTCTACCGTCAGGCATCTCTTCCGAACCAAAGGACTCAAATCTCAAGTAACTGTGTTTATACTCATTTAATTAATTGGTATTACTCTGACATGTTCCCATATTTAAGATATATTTTGTAAATTAAAGTTTGAATTTCTCTTTCGCTACTCAGTAAAATTTTCTCATTCTCTCCTTTGAACCCGCCCCCAACAAAATGGTCCTTCGAGCCGGATTCTGAATTTCTAGTAAGTTATAATGTTAGACCAAAGGAGAGAATTTATTTAAGTAAAAGTTTTACAGTATTTAGGTTTTTTTGTAGCATTCCTATCTTAAACCTTAGCCCTTATATTTCCTTCACCAGCTAAAATGGCAGCTTTAAAGAAAGCCGAAATCGACTCTCTAGTCAAAAAGAGAGAAAAGTATTATGCAAGGTTACAAGCTCTCTATGACGTTGGTAAAAAATGTATCCAGCTTGCTCAGCAAAAACAATCTTTTAATACAGAGTTTGATTCTTTTGTATCACGTTATCAAAGATTAGAGGATGATTATTCTGTGTTTGAACAAACAAGTGACAGTATTAGTTTGTTAAACTCTCAAGTAGATGAAGGAGATAGAGTAGAGGTTCATAGTGCATCAATGTCCTATGATGATTTGTATTTTAATGTTAAAACCATTGGGCGAAAGTTGAATGTAGATAAGCATTTGCAGCAAACAAAGACTGACTTATCTGCTGATAAGCAATCTCCTGTCCATAGTCCCCAGGTAGCTCGCCTTCCTAAATTGGAAATTGAACCATTTGATGGAACCTTATCAGCTTGGCCTAATTTTTATGCTTTATTCACTTCTTTGATTCATAAAAATCAATCCTTATCTAAAAGTGAAAAACTCACTTATCTACGCAGTCTATTGAAATCACATGCGCTTTCACTCATTGAAACCTTGGTAATATGTGATGAGAATTATGATATTGCAATGAGAACTCTCACTGATCGTTATCAGAATAAACGTCTCTTGGCATCAAACTATCTCGATAAGATTTTATCCTTCCGCCCTCTCACTGAAGATTCTACTGTTACCTTATCAAACTTTTTGGAAATTTTTAGTGCAAATCTGTGTGCTCTAAAGGCTCTTGGATTGTCAAATTTATTTGATTTTACAATGTTACACATTGGTTTACGTGCACTAACATCATCATCCCGCAAAGAATTTGAAAATGAATATTCTGATAAAGATTTGCCAGAATTTGAGGATCTAATTTCGTTTGTACAGCAACAACTCAAAATCCTAGAAATTACTACATCCAAGGGAAAGCTAAAGCAAAATAGACTTAATACATCTCCTAAGCCAAGTAGTTCTAAAAGTTTCATGCTGTCAACTGTTGATGAAAAAAGTTTAACTGGAACTGCAAAGCGCCATGTATGTCCCTGTTGCCAAGAACCCAACCATAAGATCTATGTGTGTTCTAAGTTTAAGAAACTAAGTTTATCTGACAGAAATGATTTTGTTAAAAAGCATTTCTTGTGCTTTTCTTGTCTTGGTTTTCACACAATATCCGAGTGTAAATCAACCTCCAAATGTTTTAAATGCAATGGCAAGCATCACACCCTTTTGCATCGTCCAGCTACTAATGCAACTGCAGGCCCCTATCTCTCAAGAGAAAAGAGCTTAGAAACCAAACCCAATGACATGAAAGAAATACATAATCCTTCCTCATCCAAAACTTGTAATTTTGCTGATGCAAATTCCACCTCAAACATGATGTTAAGCACAGCCATTATCGGCATAAGGGATAAAAATAACAAACTGACACCAGTCCGAGCCATTATTGATGGTGGTTCCCAAACTAGCTTAATTACTCAAGAATGTGTTCTCAAGTTAGGTCTCACCAAACATCAAAATAAAATAACCATCAAAGGTATTGCAGACACCCAGGTCCCAGTGAACAAAGGTTCAGTAACATGTAACATAAGCCCTCTTAAGAACTCTCATATATCTTTGAGTACTGAAGCAGTTGTAGTCCCAAAGATATCATCCGATCAGCCAAACATTGATATTGACCCTACAATCATCTCAAGATTTGATAATCTACAGCTCGCTGACCCCACGTTCTATGAAAGCTCGCCTGTTGAATTTCTAATAGGAGCAGATTTGTATTTCGATATAATAAAAGAGTCGCATAATATCATAAAAGGTGAACCCTCTGCAATGAACACTATTTTTGGATGGATAGTTGGTGGTAGAGTGGCCACTTCCTCCTGTCAAAGTGAATGTTCTTATTTTTTAAACTGTTGTGAATCAGTTGATAAGACTCTCAAAAGGTTCTGGGAGGTAGAAGCTGTTCAAAATGTGAAGTATCCTAGTCCAGATGATATTGCAGTTGAATCACATTTCACAGAAACACATATCAGAGATAAAACAGGCCGCTATGTCGTATCGTTACCAATGAAACCTGATGCACCCAACCTACCGAACACAAGAGATAAGGCAGAGAAACGACTTATCAGCCTAGAGAACAGATTAAAAAGCAAACCAGAAACCTATCTGGAGTATAGAGAGTTTATGGATGATTACCTAGCTCAAGGTCATATGAGTATCACCAGCATCCCCTCACCTTATGTAATTCCCCACCATTGTGTAAAAAATGAGAACAGTAGTACAACAAAGTTGAGAACAGTGTTTAATGCGTCTTTTAAGCCCTATGCAAATTCCTCTTCCCTCAATGATATCCTGTATAGTGGACCAAAGCTGCAAAGAGACATAGGAGAGATAATAATTAATTTTCGCCTACATGAAATTGTTGTGTGTGCCGATATAAAACAAATGTATAGGCAAATCGTTGTGAATCCCACAGACCGAGCATTTCAGCACATATTCTACCGGACAAATCCAAATGGAGATATAGATGAGTACGAGCTGAACGTATTGACATATGGTGTAACATCTAGTGATTATTTGGCACAAAGAGTATTACTGCAACTGGTTGAAGATGAAGGCAAAAGATACCCACTCGCCTCTCAAGCTATCACTCATCAAACGTTTGTGGATGATATTTGTACCAGTGTTGATTCTCCTCAAGAAGCACTTCAGTTACAGCAAGAACTAATTACACTTCTGGGATTGGGAGGATTCACCCTAAGAAAATGGGCCAGTAATTGCCACCAAATATTAGACAGCGTCCCGCTTGATTGTAGAGAAAATCCCCTCGCCCTACGCTCCGAAGACGACTCTGCTGTTAAAGTACTAGGATTACAGTTTGATCCCGCTGAAGATGTATTTTTCTATGTAATTAAACTGAACCCTGTAGTTTGTACCAAGCGCTCAATGCTTTCTGAGATTGCTAAAATTTATGATATTTTAGGATGGATAACACCCACTACGTTTTACGCCAAACATATCATGCAGAGCACATGGTTATGTGGACTAGAGTGGGATGACCCCCTACCAGATGAACTTCGCAGTAAATGGACAACATTTATTTCAACCCTTTCAAGTCTTTCAACCCTAAAGATACCTAGATTCATCCCTACAACTCCTCACAGCACAAATCAGATAATAGGATTCTGTGACGCATCTGAAAAGGGCTACGCAGCAAATATCTATATACGAACTGAAACCTCGGAAAACATATCAGTACATCTTATCAAAGTGAAAAGTAAAGTTGCCCCACTCAAAACAATGAGCATTCCTAGATTAGAACTTTCTGCTGCTCAACTACTAACAGAAGTTGTATTATCTAGTACGCATCTAACCCAGACTGTTGACCCCCAGAATATCATATTGTTTTCTGACTCAGCCGTTGTTCTTATGTGGTTAAAAACTCCTCCTTACAAGTTAAAAACATTTGTCGCAAACAGGGTTGTAAATATACTTGAGTCAACTAATCCAAAACAGTGGCACCATGTAACATCTAAAGAAAATCCTTGCGATTGCGCATCGCGCGGCTTGACACCTGAAGAGCTTGTAAATTTTGACTTGTGGTGGAAAGGACCTCAATTTCTGTACACTCCCTTTGATTCGTGGTCATTACACCGTTCATCTGAAGAAGAAGTAGAGAAGTTGCCAGAGATTAGAAAAGAATGTTTATCTACAACAGTTGATAACCAAAACAGCATTGTATTAGAAATGCTTGAAAAATATTCTAGCCTGAGTAAAGCTAAATTTGTAATTTCTTATGTATTAAGGTTCATCAATAACGTCAAAAGTAACGCCAAAGGTATAGCTAAGAAACAAGGACCAATATCACCTCAGGAATTGGAACACACATTATCTCTCTGTGTAAAGACTACACAACAACGCTATCTCTCAAAAGATATTTCTGATATGAAAAATAATAAACCATGCTCTAAGATATATCGCTCTTTAGCTTTATTCATTGATGAAAATGATTTCGTCAGGGTGGGCGGTCGTTTGAAAAATGCTAACTTAACTTACTCCAGAAAACACCCCTTTCTGATACCCCGTTCATCACGCCTTGCGACACTCATTTGTGATTATTATCACTCATTAGCTTTACACTCAGGACCCCGCTTGACACAGTCTCTCATTCAAGAAAAGTTTTGGATTGTAGGAGTACGGCAGTTATTGAGGGAGCGTATATTTAAATGCCAAAGATGCTATATGTTCCAAGCAAAACCTTTAATGCCTAAAATGGCGGATCTACCATCACTCAGATTTGAAAGCACACGTGCGTTTCTAAATGTTGGACTAGACTACGCTGGACCGTTTGAGTTTAAAGAAAGTAATAGAAGAAAATCCCCCCGCCAAAAGGGATATATTGTAATTTTTGTTTGTTTTTCGACAAAAGCTGTACACATTGAGTTTGCAACGAGTTTATCAACACCTTCATTCCTTGCTGCATTGGATCGTTTTGTTGCCAGAAGAGGTCTCTGCCAATCAATAACAAGTGACTGCGGAACCAATTTCCAAGGAGCCGCGAACTATTTTTCTCACATTCAGAAATTTCTAAAAGACAATAATCAAGACATAGCACATCACCTAGCTTCAAAAGAAATTAAATGGAATTTTATCCCCCCGGCAGCACCCCATTTTGGAGGCCTTTGGGAGGCTGCAGTCAAATCAGCAAAACGTCACCTCATCCGAGCTATCGGTACCCTGATATTAACATATGAAGAAATGTAGGCCTACACCTTACTGACAAGAATTGAAGCCATTCTAAATAGTCGCCCAATAGGAGCAATGACCACTGACCCAAATGATGGAGACTACCTAAGCCCTGGACACTTCATTGTAGGAACGCCGTTGTTATCACCACCTGAAGAGGACTTCACGGAAACTAAGATGAATCGTTTGGAAAGATATCAACTCCTACAACAAGCTGCACAATCGTTTTGGAAGCAATGGTCTCAAGACTACCTACAAACATTGATACCCAGGAATAAATGGACTACATCACAGCCAAATCTTCAAGTCGGAGATGTTATATACCTTCAAAACAAGGACAGCAGCCCTCTGGAATGGCCTATTGGAAGAGTGATTGAGACATACCCTGGACCAGATGCTACAGTTAGAGCCGCAAAGGTTAAGACACCTCACGGAATATATGTGAGACCTGTCCATAAGCTGGTACCCTTACCTCCTTCCGATACCCATTCCTAGCTTAACGTTTGAATATTAGGTTTTTACGATCAATTTTTATTGTGTGATTTGCCTCTTAGTGTACGATTTTGTAAATATGCATTTAGGTGGGCGGTATGTTTGGTTTTAGTTTAATATATTTGAATTTTCAACTAGTACCAGGATTTCCAAAGATAGCTTATCTTATCTGACCTACTTTTCCAGTCTGCACTGTCCACTCTTGCCTTAGTTAACCCAGAGTCAACATGTACTCCTTGCTCATTCTCTTGTATATAGTAGATTAGATTTTGACTGTTTTAAAGTGAACTAATAACGTTTAACATGTAATTATTAAAGTATGTGTTTTATAATATCTCCCCCTTCTCAATGTCAGAGAGTGCCTTTTAATTTGTAAAAATACCAAAGTGTTGTGACGGGAAGACCTCTAAATGATTTTGTGTTCTTCTACCATCTACGGATTCTACGGCTACGCAGAATCCCCTCATCTACCCGCTCCTGGAGAAGATTCACCCATTCAAAGACTGTCCGCCCCTGGTGATCTTCGCTCCCCGCTTCAGTCTACCGTCAGGCATCTCTTCCGAACCAAAGGACTCAAATCTCAAGTAACTGTGTTTATACTCATTTAATTAATTGGTATTACTCTGACATGTTCCCATATTTAAGATATATTTTGTAAATTAAAGTTTGAATTTCTCTTTCGCTACTCAGTAAAATTTTCTCATTCTCTCCTTTGAACCCGCCCCCAACACAAGTCTTATTTGATAATCCCCATGAGAGTCTTGTTATCAAGGTTCTACTTTACTTGGTTTCAAACTAATCATCATAGTTTATTACAGATGTTGGTATATTAACAGAAGATTTACTGAGTGACCCTTGGTTGTTCAAATATCACCCCCAAGTAATTGTGAAAAGAGTACAATTCCTGAATGCGATTAATGCTGCAGAAAAATGTAAAGTTATTAAACCATGGATGCTACGATGCCCGCAGTCAGTAGTCAACAGGTAAATTTTATAAAATTGAGATAAAATAAAATTACAAGTCATGCGTAAAAGCCAAATTTTTAATCCAGCAAATCTACAAAGATTTGGATTAAGATTCGATATTGTAAAATCATTAAAGTGGTATTTAGCTATACCTGTACTACAATCTGCCCTTTGGCTCAAGGCAGTAACCAAAATGGTATTAATCCTTCAGGGGTGTAAATAATGTAGCCTACATAGTTTTTTATATTTTATTATTAACAAATAAAACACAATCTATCAGACTAGTTCTGTCAAAGATGAAGAATTCAAGTATACAAGTAAGTAGGTGACCTAGATTTAATAACATGGGATATGACTCACAGAGTTTTTTTTCCAAGAGTAAAATCGTAGACTAACAGTGATATCTTAGAAATAAATAGATACACAGCTTAGATTAAAGAAATAACCATATATTAAAAACTTGGTACGCTTCAAAAAGTACACAAATAATAATAAAGCAAAATACAAAAGGTGACACATGGAACTAAACCCCGGGAAATCTGGACGCAAGAGGTATATGTGTTTCGCAACCCATAACATTTTGATTGGATGTAAGTGGTAGTGGAGAGGATTTTTTGAAGTGAAGTTAGGTGAAGCCTGCTTCTAGATGGTCATTAGCCAGGCCTTCAGGGCTATTTGATTTATTCTACATTGGTACCAGATTTTCCATTTACTTTTTATTCCTTCTTTGTTGTAGATGACCCAGATTTTGGCTTTTACTAAGGCATAACCATGTCCATCATGGCCTTAGATTTATCCATCTCTCGATGTCGTCAAAGATTAACACATGTAGAACTCGAACAAAGACAATAAAGAGACACAACAGGATATATATAACCACTAGTCCTAGATTTAATAAGTACTGAAAAAATCCAAGTAACAGTTCAAATTGCAGAATGTTCCCGTTTTCTCACCACGGTTTATATTTCACAAATATGCCAGTTCATTTTTACATTTTAGACGATTTTGATTAAATTTCCTTAAGCAAAATAATTTTGAATTCTTATCATTATTGAACTCCTGTTATTTGTTGTGGTTTCTAGTATATAGCATTACTTAGTGATTCCTATGTATTTTACCTTGGTTTCTGAATGTTGTTTATGATTCTGTTTACAGATATTTTGAGTTGAGGGACGAAAACATAGCTGCATTAGGTTCGTACACTAACCTCAAAGATCTTCTGATCAACGAACTGGAACTGAGTGATGTTGAAGTTGAGGGAATGTTAATGAAACATCCACCCCTCGCTAAGATCAGCTACTCCAAGGCCAAGGAGATGATCGACTTCCTCAAGTCACAAGGATTCTCATCAAAAATGATTTGCCAAGTGCCACGGGTCTTGTGTCACAAGCAGGCTACGTTATTGGTCAGTTGCAAGTTAAAACTCTTTCTGTTACGGTTCAGCTTTCTTGTCAAGTTTTATATTCTTCTGTAACGTCAAACAAATTAAACGGAAAGTGTCTGATGTAATGGTTTGGATCACAATCCACCACCAAGAAAATAGGCTGTGGGCATACCTATGTTGATTTTTATTTAATAAGTTTGTGTGCTTTTTAATATTGATACTGAATTTATTTAGGGAGTAGAAGCTGAAACATATTTCACTAAAGAATAAAACTATGAAAGTCTCCATTTGTGAACTGTGGGTACAAAACTGCTCATTTGTTTAAGCTGAATATATGCTCATTCTACAATGTTAAAATGAGAAGATATTCTATGCATACATGGTTGTATAGTCCTACATTAAATATATTCACTTTACCTTAATATGGTTAGGGGGGTTTTGTACAATTTTAGAAACAAAATGAAGATTTTGTACAATTAGCGATTCAACATTTTTTGGACCCGTAGGAGCTGTGGGTGGCCCATCCTTTAAAGTCAATCAGCACCTAAGCCGTACAACAGCAATATTGTGTCAAACCTTAATTCCGAAGTAATCTTTTATGTTCTTAGTTCCACACCATGCATTTTACTTACATAAGTGATTTTTTTTCTATTGAACAGAGACTTGTTACAACCAATAAGCATAGTTGGGAAAGTTAGTCAAAAATTCTAACTAGTTAGAAGTTATTAGTTAGTCTGGTAAAAAGTAACTGATAGAAGTTATTAGTTAGTTTAGTTTAAAAAGTAACTGATAGAAGTTATAGTTAGTTGAAAAACTAACTGATAGAAAATAAAGTTAGTTTTCGTAGAAGTTAGCTGTTTGTTGGGCAGTTGTTTTAAAGGATTTCGTAATGATACAACTTGGTTACTAATCAATACTATAATCCAGTATGAGTAAAGTTTGCACACAATGATTAAAAAACGGCTCCTACGATTTCTTCCAATTGCAATGCTTGGGGGAGAATTGCTTATATAATACATTCGCATTGTATGATGTATGACCAACCAAAGGGATAATAATTACTACTGTTCAAAAACATTAAGTGTTTTACCGCAAAACATAATACACTGATATTGAACTAAAAATCTAAAGGAAAGGCCAAGGACGTTTTATAGTTTTTGACGATGCCCCGCACGAATTGATGCGTTATTACACCAACCCCTAATTATAGTTGCGACGTCCCGCGATCCCAGTGACTTGATGCAATAACGGTCAACAGATAACAGATGTTATGTATTATGAGTTTTATATTGATTGAAGCTTATTGTAGACATTTTATAGATTGCTCGTCCACATGAAAAAGTTTGTAAGGTAAATTAAGGATGAGTGGATGTCTAACAAAAAAGAATTGACTTTACAACTTAATTAATCTTAGTAAGACCGAAAATATTTATAGGCTTATAAGCTCTATTTTTTACCTCTTAATTAAACACCTCAAACATCTCGGTCCCCTGGTACTTGTGTTTTGATCAAACAATGTCACATTTTACATTACTACAACAGAAACAAATGACTTTAAACTTGTCAGATAATGAACATCAACTGAAGACAATGTTTTGACACTTGAGATGATATATCAATCACCAAACGAAAATTCCCCCTTCCCACCCCTCAGTGCCTGGGGTGTTGATAATGGCCGTCACAGCCCTTCCACAGGCCCATTGCATTCCAAAGCAACTGAACTTTGACTTTCTCTTTCCCCACCCCCAACGTTGTTTGTCTTCAAGGGCGCTGACCTCTCACGGCCGCACGCAACCCTCACTGGTCATGTGAAATAAATAACCCGTATTTGAGATGCTTCCGCATAATTGACAAAAATAGTTAAAAATTCTAACTAGTTAGAAGTTATTACTTAGTCCCGTAAAAAGTAACTGATATAAGTTATAAGTTAGTTAGTTTAAAAACTAAGGAATAAAATATAAGTTAGCCAAAAAACTAACGAATATTGCTATTCGTTATTCCCAAGTATGCCAATAACCACAACTAGCTGTTGGATAACTTAAAAGCTGCATTCATAATAATTTGTTCAAGTACAAGTCTAGGTGTTGAATATCAGTATAAAATAAATGCCCAATGCTTGAGAATGATTAAGATTTTTGTTTTCAGGCAAGATTGTTGGAACTAAAAAAGATCAACCCAAGAATGTTGAGCCTTCAAAATCTCTGTAGGAATAAAAAAGACTATCAAGCTTTTCTAATCAAAGTGCAGAATACTCATTCTTGAAATAGAAGATGTCCAGGTATGTAAATTGAATTATTGAAGTCAGTACGATTGGTTTATCCAATACAGTAGAACTCTTTATATCTGACCATGACGGAACAGGACGATGGTCGGAACGGTCAAGGTCGAATCGGATATCAAGAGAAGCACAACTTGTGGCAGCACCGGTATTTATTTATTTATTTATTACATGTCATTACATCATTTGACAGGACATAGTGTCATATACAGTATAATACTAAAACTAAGAAATAACAAAAATGTTATTAATCCAACTTAACGTCCCTATTTAAATAACATTTGATGGAAAAAAAAATGTTGTTTTTAACCAGGTCTTCAGGGTGGATCTGAACTGTGTATTACTATAAATATTTTTTATGCGGAGCGGTAATTTTAAACTTGTGAGCCTATATATTGGGGAGATAAATGAAATTTCTCTAATCTATGGGTTTTAGGCTTAATATCTACCTAACTCTTAAATCTATTGTGATGGGAATGAAAGGGTTGGGTCATGAATGAGGACAGATTGTCTGTAACAACCCAATTTGAAATTTCTAAAATATAGTGATCATAAAATGTTAAAACTGAAAATGTTTGAAAAAGACTTTTACAAGAAGTTCTACGAGGAACTCGCCCAATAATTCTAATTGCTTTTTGTTGAAGTTTGAATATTTTGTTGGAGTGGCATGAGTTTCCCCAAACCAGAATACCATATGTCATTATTGAAGAAAAATAAGCATGATAAACGATAAGCTGAGTCTTCAAGTTAACAGCTTGTCTGATTGCGGGGAGAGAAAATACAGCGGTTTAATCATTTGATCAAATTAGCAACTTGTGACTTCCAGTTAAGATTTTCATTGACAGTTATACCTAAAAAAATTCACATTTTGCTGCAGTGGCATTAAGATTTTGATGTTGTAGTTTTATCTGTTTTATATAGATTATTACTAGAACTAAACTCTATAAGCTGAGCTTTATCATCATTCATAACCAACCCATTCGCCTGGAACCAGTCTCTGAGAGATTGTACCTCCCCTGTCCAGTGTGTGCCGCAGGGAGTCGATACTGGGTGCCGTACATAGCACCATTGTATCGTCTGCATACTGAAAGAGTTTCACATTTGAGACTTGAGGTAGGTCATTAACATAGATTATGAACATACTAGGGCCCAGTATCGACCCCTGAGGCACACCACATGGTAGCCTACTTTTCCCCAAGTTGAATAAACCCTAAACAGTTTCATTATTTTTTGTTAATTTAGTTCTCTGAAACTGCTTGGAAAGATAAGATGAAATAAATTAATTTCTTTGCCTTTAATACCAATTTTTTTTGTCGTGATTAACCCAATCAAACGCCTGGGACAGATCACAGAGAACACCAGCTGCTCTCTGAGATCCATCCAGAGCCTGTGTGATGCAGTTAACCATTCTTGCCATTGATGTTTGACAACTGTGCCCTTTTCGAAAACCAAATTGAGTATTGTTTATGATGTTGTTACTTTCTAAATAAGATCTTAATTGAATATCAATAGCTTTTTCAAATATTTTTGAAAAACATGAGTGTAATGCGATAGGACGGTAATTGTCTAGGTTGTTTTTGACGTTTTTCTTAAACTAGTGTCCCTGTTGCTCGAAATCGAGCAATTGCTAAGTATTACAGGCGTTATTTTAAAACGAATAACAGTCATAATTGTTGATAACTTTAAAAGATTCGACTCAAAGATTATGGAATACTCAAGATGTACATAACAAATCGATATAATCAACCTTTCTTGTAAATATCTTATAAGTTTTCAAAAGCTGATTTTGTTTTTTAGTGTTTTCTACAAATAGCCTTACTCATAGCCGCATTAGGTCGTCCATAATAACGATTATAAAAAAAAAGAAAACATTACATATTTCTATTTCTTCCCCTTGGTGATGTTCTATGATTTTCCTATGTTTCCATAGTTTGCAAATCGTCTCTTTCAATGATTACTAAGAAATGCAGCACAGTGTTAATTCAGTTTTCTTTTTAGTATATCAATTTATCCAGGTTCTCTCGTTTTTTTCCATTGTAATATTTACGCCAACCCAAATTCAAATAGTAACTATTTCATTTCAACCAAGTAATTAAATGTTTGCAGCAAACTAACTGTAAATTAGCAAACTCATTGACTATTTACAATTAACATATGTCCTTCTTCTCACTTTTAATTTCTGACAACAGCTGGAGTTTCATAACAATTTTTGTTTCCCGTGTTAATCTTATGGAGAAATACGAAACTTTAAAGGGCCCAGGGCCTCACCCTCTAATTATTTCCCAAAAAAGAAAGTTTCCTGCACAACTTCACGTTACGCTCTTTCCAATGACACCAAGAACATGTAAATCGGTTCAGTAGATTCGGAGGAGTAACTGTCACAAAAAACCTGCTTGTGTATTAAATAAGTAATAGATAATGGTCTAATTTCAGAATATTCGCCTCCTGCGATTACGGACACACCCGTGTGCATATCTTATGGTCTCTGCGACACCGGTAATTGCCACCCCCGACCGGCAACACCTGTGGACATGTCTTGCAGTCACTTGGCAAAATCGGTAATGATATCCCAGGAACGTGGCAACACCCGTTGGCACATCTAACGGTCTCTGCGACAGTGGTGATTGTCTGCCGCGATTATGGCAATATCTGCGATAGGCCTTTTAGTCAACCTAACACCTCCCCCATGCCCTTTGAATTTTAGCCTCCTGATCACATTTAAATACAAAATAATTGGTGTAAATACCTGCATTTATGTGATCAGCGTGTTGCTAAATTGCAACCGGTTTCGACTCACAAAGGAGTCATAGTCGGGCCAGTACAACAGATGTCTTCTTGCTTTATTCGAAGGTCGTCAATTCATAATAAATAAATACATTTAACACGCACACGTACATAAACATAAAAACAAAGGGTAATACTATAACGGTAACGGGACAAGACGTGATCGGGCGGGGGTTATGTCTAAACTGCCGGTTAGGATCAGCGTTAAATTTGACAGCCAAAACATCATCGACAAGAATTCATTTCAATCAAATTACATTTACGATACTGCAATCAAGATACTAGCACAAGGGACAGTTGTGGATGAAGTTATCAGCTGATCGGGAAATCCAGGCACGACGTCATCATTGACCACGCTGATCCTGACCGGCAGTCTAGAAATAATCCCCGCCCGATCACGTCGTGTCCCTTTACCGTTATAGTATTACCCTTCGTTTTTAACCCTAAATGTATTTTTTATGTTCGTGTACGTGTGCGTGTTAAATGTATTTATTTATTTTGAATTGACGACCTTCGAATGAAGCAAGAAGACATCTGTTGTACTGGCCCGACGATGACTCCTTTGTGAGTCGAAACCGGTTGCAATTTAGCAACACGTTGATAACATAAATGCAGGTATTTACACCAATTATTTAGTAACATGCTCTGCGTTTTCGCCTCAGACAGAAAACAATTACATGGTCGGACAGTAGGTTGGATATCCCGAGTTGGTTATGCCGAGGTCAGATATGAGGACTCTACTGTACATCTGTTTACTTATCGACTGTAATAAAACCGTTACAAAAATAGACTTAAACTAAATGAGCCGAGGTGTTTTTTTCTGCTTCAGACATATGGCTCATAAATGAACCCAACCATTAGCTAGTTTATGATTATGACTTGTTGATTATATTTAACTTTCTTTATATTTGATTAATTTTCAACTTAAAAGATCTATTTATGCACACATCATTCAGTCCAGTCAGAGTTCTGTCTCAGTTTTATTCGCAATTACTCAGTCAATTGTAAGTTGGTTTCAGTCAGTCGTTCAACACTTTATTTACAGTGACCTATTATTTACAGTCAAGCATTTTTTCCATTGAAACACAGTGTTCTATCAATTTTTCATCTTCCATCTTGATGATTGTTTTAAACAATACTTAAAACACAAACACAAAATAAAAAAAAAATTTAATGTCATAGATAGGTAAGGTACATTATATGACCGTCAGGCGTCCAAACAACTGCAAAATATGGGTGGGTATCTACCCATATCTGATAGAAATATGGGTGGGTATTGTATGGACGCTGGCAGAGTGACCAACGGACCTGCATCGAATAAGTGTGGATATAAAAAAGAAAATAAAAATAATAAATTTCTTGACTGTGATGTGACTGAACTGTGACATGCCAAAAATTATGTGTGAAAATACCTTGATTCAACATGTTGGTCTACAAAAAGAATGAAGACTACATAATTTGCTACAAAATTTTCATTCTTCTATGGGAGTACAGATATTATATTATGATTATTATGTACAAGGATAGGGATCAGCTAGCTTACCTGGTAGACAGAGTCCAGATTAGCCTTGATTACACACAAAACACATGACACAACACGGAAAAACTTAATATTTCGTCCCAGTTTGGGACTTCATCAGAAGGGAGAAGAAAGAAATTATATTATGTAAGTTTCTTAGATTGCCTAAGAGAGCAGCCCCATTTTGGACTGGGAATTCCAATACATCCATAAGAATTTGTATAACCGGTTGGACCTCGGTATATACTGTAATACATACTGGTAATACCATTGGGATCTGTGCAGCTAATTTTTGAACCAATATCTAGCCAAAGTACTGTCACCATTTTTTGTTATTTGATGCTTTTATAATAAGTTTCATGTCATTTTTGTGTTTGAAAAAAAGCAAAATTGTCGTTTGTGTCTAGACATCTTTTATACTATTTTACCTTTTGGTTAATTGAGCCTGATGGCCAAACTGACTGCTTCAATTCAATCACCGTTGTGACATCTTATTTACTGACACTTTTTTTTATATCCATACTATTTTAACTTGAAGGTCAAGGGTATTAAGTAAAAGCAGAGAGAACAAGAATTAAATATAGACAGTCAGCTGTGCTGCGGTTACCATAGGTTCTGCCATACATCGCTGGGAGCGCCATGTAGTTACGGCGTACGCGCTACGTAACTACACGACGCTTCCAGCAGTGTGCACCAGAACCTATGGTAACCGCAGCATGGCTGACAGTCTATACTTAATTCTTTTTGTCTATCGTAAAAGTAACTATTAATTGATCAATAATTTAATGCCTTATGTTTGGTTACAGATGCTGAATCAACTGTTTACTGAGTTGCTTTTCGTTTGGCAGTAATGTGTTCCGACATGGAGTTGAGGTGAATAAACAGAACAGCTGCCGCTACACGGGATTGTAGATCCAACTGACTGAGATCATGAGCCCACTCCACACGGCCCCAGTGACCGCACTGCAACACACGGAGGGCTATGGTTAAAATTGCTACACACGTGATGTGCAATTTTCAACATTTATTTTATCACAATTATGGAAGTTTTTTATACCCAATACATTTTTTATTGGTTTTTTTTTGCAGAAAATTATCATAGATATCAAGCTGTATAGTTAATTTTTTACAATTTGAATGAGTTGTTTTCGCCCATTAAATATGAATTGTTAATTATAGTGAGTTGTTTAAACATTTTAATCCCTTTGTTTATATTTTAAAAGTTCAAAACTAACAACCTTAATCATAGATTGGAAACTTTTTCTTCTATAGAGTGTAGTGATTTACCTCTCACTAATATATTAGTCTAAGTATTAAGCTGTGTAACTTATCGAGTTTAGTGTTGAGCGAAGCAGAACGTTTGCACGCAAGTTCGCTGGCTTGTGCTTTCTTTTACGTATTTCATAAATCCTAGAATGACTACCCTATCAACATTTTATGCACTGTAAAATAGAAAGACGGGTGATGAAATCCTATGTGGTTATTTTTCCCTCCTTTAGAAAGACGGAAGAATTGTGGACTATGACATTGGTAAAGCTAGAGGACTCAACAATGTTAATCCACACTCATTTAAAATGGCTAAAAAGCTAAAATAATAAAATATGATATCGGGATCGGCTTAGACAAATCCCAAAATCCTGGGATTGGACTAAATCCCCAGGATTGAGACTAGGGAGATCCAATAAATATTACGCAATCATACCTGAAACTCCTCCTCCAGCCTGGTCAGTAACACAGCCTTCTCTACAGAGATCCTTCGTTCAACACAAGCATGTGTCAAGATGGCGGACTTGAGTGCTTCTATGGCAAACAGGAAACCTACACAAATTAGGATGGCACATTATAAACTAATATAATTTGAAAACAATTCTGTCTCTAAAGGAACAGATTTAAATGCCTGCAGCCACCCTTGTCGTACCAATGTGTACCTTCCTAGTAAGTCCCTACACCAGCACTTGTGCACATTTTGAAAAATTTATTTATGGTGACGGGCACATTGGTGTGTTCTCATCATAAAAGTCTAATCTAATCTTATGTTACACTTTTCTCCATACAAGAGAAAAGTGTATGTAGTTAACTGTTAGCTGTTTTGTAGCTAGTTAGCTGTTCTGTTAATTGGACATACATCTCATTGGGAGTTTACCACTTGAAAAAGTCTCATCACTGAATGTGATTTATACTTGGGCGGATTTACTTTACTATTGTTAATGGCTATTATTATAACAATACTGAGCATTGCTTAGATGTGAGGGACTCATTAAATTTTTGATACTCAAGTAGTTTTAAACAAGTTTTAACGCTATTTCAAGGTTAAAATACTGATTAAATTTATTTCTTTGTTTTTACAGCCAAAATAAACAGTAATGAAACTGAATCAGCCATTACCATTCCAGTACTGTTTATTTTGGCTAAAATAGCCTGCTGTATTTATTTTATAAAACTGTGTTAAAAAATATATACTTTTTTTTAGATTCAAAAGTTCTTTTTTGTCTTTGGATAATTATTAATTTTTTTTAAATCATTAATTAATAATTATTCGTAATTTGATGATTATTATCGTACTAATACTAAAAGATCATTGTTGATGATCTTTTGATTCGAGATTATCATATAGTGATTAAAATGCATTTGGTTTTAAATAATCGAAACATTCATTGTTATTATCCAAACATTCATTGTTGTATTGTTATTATTTTTGCGTTGTTTCCCGTACACCACTGGTGAGTGACACGATGGACAAAGTTAGTAGGCCTAACGATTCGTATCGAAATATATAAAAGAAAAAGCCCAGGAAAATAGTTTATAGTAGGGCCTACTGGTGTACGTTTCTATTGTTAAGTGTGTTTAGTATTTTAATAAAACTATTTAAGAGAACAGTAGGGTTTTGATTTAGTTACGTATAAAAAAAGGTTATAAATAAAAGGAATTCAAGGTAAATTTAGGGTTATCATATTTCCACGACAACCGTGCCCAAATTGAATGTTTGTTTTTAACAACAAACTATTTATGCGAATCACAATGATTGGTTTGAAGTGATCGACTTAACAACCGACAGTTATGAAGGACCAAGTTGGGAGTTATGCATATGCAACAGCTGGTTGTTTCATGAGACAAGATGAAAGAAAATTTTGACGTTATGAAGACACAGTACGTCAATTTTACTTTTGTTTTTATTTAAACCTAAAATTGTTGGCAGTATGACAAAAAATAAAGTTCGTCACTCGGGTCAAAAGTGTCTTTTTAATACTCGCTCAATTCCCAGCCTCGGCAGTTAAACTGGAGCTCGTATTAAAAAGATCCACTTTTGATCCGTGATGAAATATACTATTAGGATCAAGATTCTAGTTCTAGCCATAATAAAACAATTATGACTTTTCCTTTATTACCCATGACTCAGATATTATATTTCTTCCTTGTGATACGAGTTACCATGTATGGCAGCAAAGTTGTAAGACATGAGGTGCCTCTGTATCTGAGCCTTGATGTCATCAGAGACTTGCGGAGGTCCGATGTTGTGTGTCGCAGCTATCGTCACTCCAAACCTTTGACAGAACCAGTCTATGTGTGGCTGCCACTCAGTCTGCTGGATTGAATACAAATTCTCATCCTCCTGTAACATATTGAGTCTACTCAAGTAAAATCTATTTCCTCTCATCTTTTATTACTAGATGGATCTATTGATCTTGGTGGATGGTTTTAAAACGGCTTAAAATGTGACACATTATACCTCACTAATACTTGGAGTTCCAAATCTTCCCAGTTAAATTAAATACAACACCTATTATTTTTTTGTTTTGGGGATATTATAGCTTGAGTAGTATAATATCCATGTCAAATGCAGCTATCGTATACCATAGTACTAATAAAAATCCAGAATCCTGTAATATCACATACTATTAAGGGTCTCCGTTGAAGGTATCTAACCCCTTACACCAAGCAAGCATCTAACAGTGGTGTGTACTTTACTTCATCCATTACTATTCTAGTCTGTTTCCACTTCTATGAAACAATTAGTGTGTTCAAAACCTTATAAAGGAAAATCTCCGCTTCCGACAAGTATGACCACCTTCTGTGATTAGGTTTCTCTGGGTCTACGGCATCAACTGCTATTGAAGTTCATTGTCAGTTTATACCAAAAGTGGAGTTTTTAGGCATAGAAAATGTACGTAAGGGGCTAAATGAGTTCGGATGTCATAAAAATCCCCACGAAGTTGACCAAACGGCGGTCGTTCACCGGTCTTTTTTTGATGCAGTGACCAAAAGGAGTTGAGTTGATCTTGCATGCGGATCACGGTGTGACTTAACAACGGATGGTTGAAATGATATCGAACATCTTGCGACTATAAAGGACATATGGGAAATCTCGTAGTCACATCGATCAGTAAGCTAAGTTTTCTTGCCTTGTACTCTAACACTGTCGGGATAGAAACTGATGCACATGCTGATGTTGTGCAAATAAATGTGTACATTATTCTGCAAAATATAGTCCATCAGTTTGGCTATGATACCCAGTGGATTAGGGACCTTCTCAGAACTCAACTCACCCTCTGGACCCGCTCGTCGGGCTGGCCAGAGACAAACAGTGACTCACCCACTGTCTCACAGTCCCGCAGATCTGTCACTTATTTTGGTTTTAGTTAAAATAAATTTTTCTTTATAAATTTGAGTTATACATGAAATTCCAAAAATAGTGAGCCCACATATACATAGTACAACACAATATACCACGATATGAACATAGTACAATTACTCAGTATCGTCACCAGCTTTGTCCGACTTTCAGATCGTAGATATTTGTTATCCACATCATGTTTGGACTCATTATTTTTGGAATTTCATGTAGAACTCAAATATACATAGAACAATTTATTTTTTTTTACTTAAAAAAAGTTACAGATCTGTGGGATTGTGACAGTAAGTAGGTAAACTTTTTATCAATGGCCAGCTTGGCGAGCGAGTCTGAAGGGTGAGTCAAGTTCTGAGAAGGTTCCTAATCCGCTGGGTATCATAGCCAAACGGACGGACTATACCAAAGCAACCAATGCACCTAACATCTAGAACACTTTGCTGCATACACTTCCTTTAATTGGCCAATAGGGGTTAATCTCCTTCTCACAGAAACCTAATCACAACAATCAATCATGATTCATACTTGGCGGAAGCATCGTTTTTGGCCACTATGAGGAGAATAGGCCTAATCGTCAGGCCGGCTAGAATAGTAGTGCACGAAGTGAAGAACACGGCAACTGTGTTAGATTTGAGCTAGCTTGCTTGGTCTCAACAGTAAATTGTTGAAGATCCTAATTAGACAATCCCCGTAGTAGGATGTTAAGATTTTGAGAGATATAATATTAAAGGGTGCACTGAAATGCAATATACAAACCAAGACAATAAATAGATAAACCTAAATAATGAGTTCTGATAGAAAGATCGGCTGTAGAACGGTGTTAAACAATGGTCTTTATCGGTTAATGTATTTTTAAAGAAACAAGAAGTTGGATTTTTAAACTAAGCATTTTAATAAAAGTTATAGTTACATTTGCATTATTTCTTTAAAAAATTGACCTAAGTGAACTGTTAACTATATTATAAAATTTGCTACTTTTCATCTTTATCTTGTTTACAATTTTTTTTATGAGTTCAAAAGCTTTAAAAGTTGCTGGAACAAATAAGCTTTTAGAAAATGAATTGCATATGCAACCAAATTATTTAATTTTCAATTTTGTCTTCAACAATTTTCTGGATCCATGTTTTTTCCAGATCTATAGAGAAAAGAACTTTTTCTATTCACTCTGGAAAACTTTCCTTCGAGTGATGTTGGCTGCAATTGAGTAATACAAATTATTGGCGATATCATTTAGTTTTAAATCTGAAAAATGAACTCAAGTGCTGTGCCTACCTTGGAGTGAAAGAGTATGGTATCTGTCTCCAGGTAGGATAAAATGCCTTGGACTATGTCAAACTTTGTGAGGTTGTTTGGGTTGTCGATTACAGTGCTGCACAAGGCTGTCTGAAACACAGATAAGGTCCTACAAAAATTATGTAAACAATAATCGTAAACTACAAGCACTAATTTTAACAACTAAATTGTGTCATTTGTAGCGTTATGTTGGGATGTGGGTGTACGTGTGTGGATGTATTGTGGAAATGTGAGACTAATTTAAGTATGCTGAATCTG